ATGACGTTAGAAATTTTTGGATCTGATAATCCCATTCTGAAAATTACGATCCCTAGAGTCCCATAAATTCTACGTAAAAACACTCTCGTTCGTTCTAATTTATTTTGAGTTTTACTTTAAATTATATGATATATGATTTGATAAAATGGAATTTCGAACTTTTATTAACAGTTATGAATCGGCTTTTATATGCGTTCCTTAAAATATCAATATTGAACTTGGAATAGCGTAATTTTTGTGTAACTACTGGTTATTTTTTATTATTAGATTCAATCTAATAGAATTTTATACTATCATATTTTAATAATATTTGTGCAATTTATATAAATGTCGCTGTTTCGAGAGACGACATATCTCGAATTGCAAAAAATGGCAGAATTTTTCATGTTCGTATTTATCGTAAAGTGTTATACAGATAAAATTAAAAGAAATTATTGCACTTGTTTACATTTGTTTCTATCTTATCGCTATTTTATTTCTAATTATCCATGACAAAGAGTATAGGTATACATGATTGATTAAAAAGATTTATGTAGTGAAATTTTGCAATGTAAATATTTGCAAAAATCTTCTAAATTATAATTTAATAAATGTTAACGAATCAAGATAGAAATTTGATATAAAAAAATCGATAGAAACAATGTAAATGTGCCGCGCAATATCGAAACTATACGAATAAACCGATAGTTTCCTATAAAATAATATTGCTTTCAACATGTAGACATGTAATAATATTTTTATAACTTTATTCTCAAATAAATATATGAAGACGACAAAAGAACGGAAAATCGTCTTTGTAGGATATTGTGTCGATAAATTGTGTCTTTTATTATCTACACATTTTGTATCATCTTTCTCTCTATAGAAATCCAATATAATACTGACCAATTTAATACTGAAAATTACTTATTTGCAGCATTAAAAGCACTGCTGGTCAGTTACTATTTTCCGATATTAAATTTCTGTAAAAGTTGAGTCTTTTATAACATTTGTAATTTTTTACAATAATATATATTAATTTATCTTTTAATCTTTTTTAAACATGTAAGAGATAGAAGCAAAACTAACATTCTGTATTCTGAAACTTGTGGTTTCGAAGTTCGAAGAAGTTCGAAGAACCTCTCGCATATACGAATATTAAATGCTAGTTTAAGGCGTCTATTATCCTTCTTGTCTGGAGCCGTAATTTAATATGCAATAAGGTAACAGTCTTAGTACTAGTTAAATGCTACACACTTTCGTCTAGAAATAATGTATAATAAAACAGAAAATAGGCATTACCATAATAAAAAAATTAGGATATATGATGCAGTACGTTCTTACAAAAAGAATAATACGCAGAGCTGAACACATAGCATATTAAATATCCTCTCTAAGAGGATATTTCTGTAGAGGATATTTCTCGGATCAAAAGATTAGAAGTCTCATTTTATTATTCTTCTACAAGGCAAATGTAACTTGACACGATTGCAGCTTAATTAATATAAATGTCGAATAAAACATTATGAAAAATGTAAATGTAGATATCGTATAAGAAGAGAAAGTGAAAAATCTACCAATTTTTAATACCTCAAATAATAGTTCAACAGAAGATATAGCAGGGAATAAATCAAGTCAATAATTCATCTGACAATGTTAATTCCAATTACCAGTTGTTTAAAAATTTGGCTCACCTCGTCGCATCCTGGTCGACAAAATCGATTTGCGCACGAGCCATCACGGCGTTTTGCTTTGCAGTCCCCCCCGCTGATTCCTCGTACTCGTTTCGGACAACGTGCATTAGGATGCTCATGACGAGGAATTTCGAGATCGGATACAGATGAAAGTTGAGCACGACAACTTGTCACTTTCGTTTCGCACGTTTTCCACCACCGTCTCGCTAATTCGTCACCGATGCTCTTCACCGCGGCGACGTGCGGAATAATGGACGAAGTCGCCCTAATGAATTTCTTTCGCCGACAAATAGTACGGTGGGTGAAGTAAGGCGAGCACGCCACTCGCCAAGATAAAAATCTCCTCGTTTCTCTTCAACTGTCTTATTAGCGCGTCGTGGTCCATCGAATACATGGAAACACTGACGCATATTGCGTTAAAACGCGCGGCGGTTAACGACCGATTTAATTGTCCGCCGTGTGCAAATTTATTTTCGCAATCACGCCGACAGATCGATGTCGTTATCGTATTTGTCTTGTCAGAAATATCGATCGTGTACGTATTATATCACCATTACAACGAAAATTTTTCGTTAATTATTCGTTGCTTCATGATCCTGCTCGTCTTCTCCTCCCTTACTTCGTAATCGCACGCGAGAGAGACGTCTCGATCCACACAGTTTTCCTGTCGACGAAGTCACGCGGGAATGATTAACGACGTAATACAAAATTACGTCGTACATCCATTATTACGTTCCGCACATTGTCCTTCGAACGTGATTATTTTCTCGAACGCAAGCATACCACGAGCGTCTCTTTTGCGCACTTTGCATCTGTGGTTGGCCTTGCTGTTGCCGTAAATTCGTAGCAAATAATTTCTTTTTGTAGCACAATATATACGATTCAGAACGACGGATCTTAAATAACGTCTTCCATTAGATTTACGCAGTTCACATATTCAATGAGGCGGCACCTGACGTAATATTTTTGTAACTTAAATCTCTTGAAAATGGCGGAAACAATATTTCTTTATCACTTTCTGCCGTTTTCTTACATTGAATTTTCACGTGAAGATAGAAGAACATTATTAATATTAAAGTCGATATCAGCTACATTTCTTATTTGAAGTTTTTATTACTCGTGAATTATCAAATTCTGTTGTGTGTTAAACTGTCTGAAACTGTCATGAAACTTCTATGTTAATTTTTAATGATGTAGAAAAGATGTATTATTTTAGTAAAAGCGCCATCATAAAATAATAGATTTGTGAATGCCCGAATAAATATTGGATATAAAAATAATAATAGTCATGCACAAAAATTAGAATTTCGTAATCTTTGTAAGTCTTTGTTATATTATTTTCCTAACATGGAACAGATGAAAAATGATCATATCATCATTTATATATCAATTAAAGATTTCTACGTGATCAGATATGCGTTGTAAATTAAAACACAAACAAATGTTTTTCACGATTGTCAAGGATTATTTCAATGTGATCCTTGACAAGATCAATTAATGATTGCATAATTATCAAAATTCACGTATTAACTAAAAGACGTGACAAGATAAGCGTTACGATTATCAGTTAATACATGATTAAAATAAAAGTAAAATACGTATCAAAGTGATAAAATGCTATAAATATGTATATTTATTTTTCGCATGTGAAAGTGACAATATAATTATAATAGAGAATAATCTCGAAAAGCAGCAAAAAAATTAAAGAACACTTTCGAGAGAGTTAATGAATCATCTATTGAATAATTAAGTGAATACCGAAGCATGACATATATCCAATAAAAATTATGTAATTGATGAAATAAATTTCAAATAAAATTCGTAGGTTTTCGTATGGTATTTAAACGGTATGATTTCGTTGGTTTTGTAATAAAATAGTGTCGACAAATTAGTAATCTGGCGCAATCATATCACAAACGTAATTTACATTTTTATGATGTATTAAACCAATTAATGATTTCATGTCAGAGAGGATTGTATGTCGATGGCTAAAGTCATGCTCGTAAAATAAAAATTCGGCTATTATATAATAAACTGACGAATGACGAATTTTGCAATTTGTACCTCTGTCGCACATCCGGCTGGTATATATTTTTTATTGATCTCAGATATAATCTCATCGACGACGGCACAACAGTCTCGAGTTTTGCGCTCATCGACCGAAATATCAGTGTGACTGAATCGAACAGAATCGCAGTTTCGAAAAGCTTCACATTTCTCTCGATACCTATGGTATATCGGTATATCTTATTTGCGTGCGGAATAGCGTCGCGACGATGAGTTTCGCTGTTTCGCGCGGCACTGAGGAGCGCCGGTAGCTCATTCATCGTCGGCACCCCCATGAACGCACGCCGACGGCGCGGTGGCGTCGCGCAAGCGTTGCACCCTCGTCGTTGCTCGTCCTTCGGTCCCCGGTGGCGGGCGTCGCGCGACGCGTCACCCTCCCGCTGCGGAGAAGAGAGGACATCGAGAGAAAGAAAGAAATCGCGAGAGCTCTCTCGCCGCGCGCGCGTTTTCTATGGAGTGACGCGAAACGACGCGCGATCGAGGTGGCAAGCCGTGATGATTTATCGCCGCGGCGCGTCCCCGCGCAGGAAAAAGGCGAGCCAGAACGTATAGGTATTCGGCCACGATTTATGGAATCCGAGCGGGGACAGAATTTCTCTGCGACAACGACTCGCGAAACGTGTCGTGTTTTGTTTTGCGCAAATGTAGAGGATTGAAGTGGAGTAATAAGAACGGCGGCGAAGATAAAAACCGATCCGAGGTCGGTGAGATTTTTACAGTTACACACATGACTTTTATACACGAGAAAACTTAGCAACATTCGTTGTCGCGTTGTCAGAAATAAAGAATTCAGAACATTTACTCTTTCCAAAACAAATTTGCATGTCGTTTCTTTTATCTTTATGTAAAATAGAAAAGTTTCAATAACAAATTCCAGTATGTTTCCAATTGACCTACTAATCGCCTTGCTCTCTTGCTTATCTCAAAGTCGGTCAAATAAAATCTGAAACTATCGCGAGATATCGCAGTAGATAACACAGTTGTAATGTATCGTAAATTCTCAGTCACGTTATAAATGGATTAAATGTACTCGCCAGCATGACTATTACATAATGAATAATCAAAATTCAGTAATCTCGTGGTGTGTAACGAAGTCTTGCGTGAATTTCGCTTAATATAACGGGTCTCCCCTCCCTAACGGCAATGCGCTCCCGCAGTTGAAAGAGGAAGGAGAAACAGAACCGTGTCGTTCACGAAGAGCCAGCGATATCGCAAGTTTCCATAATCAGCTGTTATATTCCCGACGTGGCACTGTAACTCGACGGACATTCATGCACTTAAACAACAAGCGTCCGTTTAAATCGGTTTCACATCGTATTAAATGTGTACCGCACTTTCCTTTTCGAGAACGACTCGATCGGAATACTAGATCGCGATTCACGAGTAAGGGTTTTCATTTCACAGGAAAGTGTCACGCAAAGTCATCGTGTTTCTACGTCCCAGTTTATAATCTATTTTTGTTCGATCACGGTTTACTCGAATTAGATTCTAATTAATGTTTTCTTTATTTCTGTGAACCACGGACTCCGACTTGGATATCTCTACGTGTTGCATTTCATGGCTCCATTGTGAAACGTACTTTAGGATGTGATAAGCATCCGGTAACTTCCTGTGCATCCGCATAGCCAGTCGCGATTAATTAAACTCGACAATGAGTCATTTTGTCCAATAAGATTACATATGTCCAGTGATAGTGATACGAGCTGTTTATATAATACGGATCTGACAATATTAGCGATACACTGTTACTTCGCGACTCAGTCCGGCCGAGCGCGGTGAGTCGGCATGAACATCTGTCAATGGAATCGCATATTTATAGTACTGAGCGTGCGTTGCGTGTGTGTAGAATAAAGAACCGGTTCGGCTATTAAATCGTTGCTCCATAAAATCGATGCCTATCTTCTATTAAATCATAACTTACATAATATAAAGGAAAACAGTTTTTTATTAATTGCCTCGAATATTTTTATACATTTTATGATATGTGAAATATGGTATATAAAATGTATTTTTAAATTCTCATAAAATAGCGATTTGTAACTTGAAATAGTAAAGCAATCCGAACTAAAATCGAAACCATAATAAAGTTTTATAGCGCGTAACACATCAAAATAATTAAATCTTTCATATATATATTTTTCATATTTTGCGTCAATCTTTTTAATTCATATATTATAATTTATTTATTTTTTACCGTAACCTATCGATATGTTAAGTGTTTATAAAATATTTATAACACATGTGGCAAGTTAAATTTGAGCTCAATAATTTTAGTCCTCCAAAAGTCATTTTACCCATTTAATAGCAAATTTAAACGAACACGCTTTATTTATTATACACACGATATCGCTGGTTCGTAACAGTATTAAGCGATTACTGTTAATATTTAATGCTTATCGACGTTGAAATGCTCTAGAGGGAATTTACTTATCTAACCGTTTTTAAAACAAACTGTGCGGAATTGTGGTGACAACACGTGTAATTTTTCTGCACAACCGAAAACGGGCAGATCATTGAACCAAAGCGGGATAATTACGGTGCAAAAGTGAGTAAGCAAAGAATTCGGAACGTGTCGAACGAGATCGCAAACACAGCTTATTTTCTCCTCTTCTCTCCCACTTGCATTTTCCTCGTCAAAAGTGGATTACACGTGCTCCGCACGTGCAGATTTGGGAAGTATTTCGCCGAGCGAGTCACGACGGACCTGTGTTGCCCTCGCTATTTTATTGTATCAAGATATCAATTGAAGAACTAAGTGGATGAGTAAGTGATGTATTATAAATAGATAACAGCGATAATTGAATCCATGAAATGCTAAACTATGATAATAGTCCACTGAATATAAGAGGTTTGAATAATAATCTTTCTGTATGTTATTCTTAGTCATTCAATTGCTTTTCGCGTAATTTTAACAAATTCTTTCTCTCCTTTATACGTACATTATTTTAAAATTTAACAGTCTGTAAAAATTGATTAATTGGCAATTTAGCTTATAAAAAAACTAAAAATAAAAAGTTGAATTTAAAAATAAAAATATAATGCACGTCATTAATTGGATCGGTTGAATCTTTCACATAAGTGAAGAAGCAGAGAGGTTTCATAAGGAAAAAATATTTCAATTCGACTGAATTTATATTTACTTAACCGTAAATAATTTTATTTATTATTATTTGCGCTGAAGAAAACTTATAATAAAGGTTGAAACATCGTTCGTTATTTAAAATTAAGTTTTTATTTGTAATATAAATATTTAAGTACGAACACCTAACTCAAGCTTCTGTGCTCCTTTGACTTTCTGTTTATTTATTTAAAAGCCCGGAAACGGCGGAAACTACTATTGTTTTAATACACATCAGTTTGTTCTATTTTAAGTTAATAAGATATTCATCAATTTTTACTTATTTTTATAAAGAAAATGCAATTAATTAATCAATCGTTTTACAAAAAAAAAGAATTTAGTGGAGTTATAACTCCACGAAGAACGCATGTGCAAGAACATCTCGAAAAAAGATAAGAACATGTCTGATCACATCTTGTCCCACCCGACGTCACGAATAACGATAAAATCGCTTGCATCGCGAAAAAATAAGGCTGAATCTGCTTTTAGTGGCCAAGTGGTACGAGAAAGATAAATGCGGCAAGTATGCTGTGCGAAGATTGCCGGTTCTCGATTGGCTGCCGCGATACAAACCCACGTGGCTCTTGCAGGACGCGTTGGCCGGTATTACGGTCGGTCTCACTGCCGTGCCGCAAGGCATCGCTTACGGTATTGTTGCCGGTTTAAATCCCGAGGTAAAGATCACGAAAAAGACAGCGACCGGCGTATACCTAACTTTTGTAACTGTTTGCGTCATTCCCTTGCACATTATAGATAAATGTTTCTCCGTCATAAATTTCAGAGGGATAAAATGAAATTTCTAAAAGAAACTCTGATTGTGACAAATAACAAGTAACAAATCGACAAATAACAAGAAATAAGTTTTCAAGAATACTTTCCGTTTAATTTAAGTTAAAGTGGTTCAAGGAGCGTTACTTTTTAAATGATATTAAAAATTTTTGTAATGTCTGCGTATAACATCTGGACATAAAATAAAAAATAAATTCTCCTAAAGTACATTGCTTTCGGTATCTACTAATGCCGTTTAACGTTTAGTGTCTAGTTAACTATTGACATATGTATACGATTCTAAATTAATTTAAGTGATTTTTTTTTTAAATAGTTATATTTAATTTTTGTGTGTGTATTATGATCTTATAGTACGGACTGTATGCTGCATTTATGGCATCATTTATATATATCATTTTCGGTTCATGCGAAAATATCACTATTGGTCCAACAGCCATTATGGCCACCATGGTTCAACCGTTAGTCGCAAAATATGGTACTGACATAGCTATACTAATTGCATTTTTGAAAGGATGCATCATTACGCTTTTAGGAATTTTTCATTTAGGTATGTTTTTTCTATAAAAATAAGAGATATACATATGTGTCACAGATATGTACATTACAAGTGATAAATGGTGAAATATTATTGCCGTATGATGCACCCTTTCTGTTTATTTCAAGGGTTTTTACTGGACTTCATATCGCTACCTGTAATTACTGGCTTTACTTCAGCCGCGGCGATCAACATAGCGTCTTCCCAATTTAAGTCGCTCCTTGGCATACCCGGTAGAACCGAGAGTTTTCTGGATTCTGTGATCGCGATCTTTAAGAATCTTAATCAGATCCGGTATCAAGACACATTGTTGGGAGCTGGTACAATCGTTGTGTTAGTTTTGCTCAAGGTATAAATCATTTTCATCACCAAAAGTGCAAGCTCTTTTAAAATAATTTAATTCTCATTCCGATCAAATTTCATATTGCAAAAAGGCGATAATTTCACATAATATTATAGAAAGGGACCTCTCTCTTATTTGTATTCTTTTCAACTATAGAATATACCAGGACGACGTACGGGAACAATCTTGCAAAAAATAGGATGGCTTCTCGGTCTGTCACGCAATGCGTTAGTCGTAATTGTAGGCACTATCATGGCGTATATTTTTTACACTAACAATCTAGAGCCTTTCAAATTAACGGGTGAGTAGATAAATCGTTTACCTAATATTAATGTTTTTTAAACTACAACTAACATTATTGAAATTGATATCTAAAAATAGGCTTTGGCAACCCAGTAATTAGTCATCAAATAATTTTAATCAATTATCTTTTATTTGACGTTTCTCTATAAATTCCAAACTTATGGAATTGAGTATAGAAGATTTATTGAATTATTGGTACGCGCGTTGCGGAATAAATTCGCGATAATAAATTTTCTTGCCATTGATTAATCGCCGAATTTTGCACCTTCAATATCTCCTTTCGTATCGAGAATTGAGATCAATTTTTTAAATACACGTTTGTTGACGTTAAAATTGGTCAAGATTGATTTATTAACTTTTAAATTATTGTTAACATTTATCAGTTATAATTTTAAGATATTATAAGATTCATTTACGTGATGATTACGATAAAGAATAATTTTCTTTTTCGAATCGCGGAATGAGATAATGGCTTGTTTTCGTTTCAAGATTTTGATGGACGTTAAAAAAAAAGATTGCTTCGTATATGGACAGATATCACGAGAAGATATATTTTCCATAGCGGGTTGCGTGAAACGCGAATAACAGACAAAACGTTTCAGGCACAATGGGTCAGGGTTTGCCACCGTTCACGCCTCCGCCGTTCTCCACGACCTTTCAGAATCAAACGTACAATTTTCTGGAAATGGCTAGTGCAATGGGAACGACACTGATCACGATACCGATCGTGTCGACTATCGAGCACATAGCCATCGCTAAAGCTTTCGGTAATTAAGTTTTTATCATCAAATTGCTGTCATCGCTTTTACACTTTTCGGGCTAGTAAAAGCTTTATAGAGACAGATAATTTTTCGTATGAAATGTACGATGCGTTTCTGTGTCACGCTTTTACTGTAAAATGTGACTTTAGTAACTTTTACCAATGTAAGAGGATTACTATTTTGATTCGTATGTATACCAGAAACCAGATCAAATAAACGGGAACGAAGACGGATAAATAAGGCTGTTTGCATTCATTAAAGCAAGTTCGAATATTCATATTTTATTTTGTTCGTTTACTTGGTTTGGATCCGACTACATACTGTTATTTTTGAGAGCATAAAAAATCGAATCTGCTTGTTCGAGAAGAGTAATAAAATATTTATTTTAGCAAAGGGTAAATCTTTGGACGCCACGCAGGAGATGATCGCTCTCGGAGTCTGTAATATCTTCGGATCGTTCGTTCGCTCGATGCCAGTTACAGGATCTTTCACACGAACTGCGGTCAATCATGCGTCAGGCGTTAAAACTCCATTGGGGGGAATATTTACAGGTAGGTGAATGATGAACAAGAGTGTTATCACTTCCGAATATAACGTAATTTAAATACTATCAACTTGGTTACGTATAAATGTATCTCACAACATATTTGAGAGGTGCTGTGTAACATCTAAAAAGGTAATTTTTTTGATAAAAATTTACATTATAAAAGGTAAAATTTTTTGATAAAAATTAACATTTTTCGATTATTTAAAGATACTAAAAAATATTTCGCAAATATTGAATTTACAAAATATTATTTGTTATAGTAAAATTAAACAACGCTCCGAAAAAAAAGAGATAGCTTCGCACTTCGTTGAAAATTTAAGCTATTTGCTCAATTACGAGGGGGATCTTTTCAGGCGTTCTGGTGTTGCTCGCGGTCGGTCTATTGACCTCCACCTTCCGCTTCATACCGAAGGCGACGTTGGCCGGTCTTATCATATGCGCCATGTATTACATGCTCGATTTCTCAACGTACGGCTTGCTGTGGCGCGCCAGAAGTAAGTTTACACACAAATCTTTCCTCCTCTCTATCTCTTTTTTCTCATTCTCGCTCCGATTCACCTACACTGATCTAACCAGTGTGGCGTCAATGGTGCACGCCGTACAAAAGGAGCTGCCGTCAGCGAGAGCGCCACCCACGCTCGGGATGCATTCGCGGATGCATTTGTTCTCGAAAAGCCCGCGTGAAACAATAATGCTCGAGCGCCCTTGGTGGCATTTATTGTTAAGACGGGAGCAGCGCCAGCTATTCCCGTTAACTTTTGTCGCCGGGCTTCATCTCGGGCTCATCTGCAGCTTCGTAGTAGAGCTGACGTTATCGGTACGCGCCCGTTTACGAATGCGATCGACGTCATTTCGCGTGGGTGGAATCAAATAGATAACTTCGCGTATTTTGTAATTCGCGCATTGAATTGAAATATTAAGAGATTAAATTTGTTATTAATTAAAAGTGAAACCCTGACCTTATTATTGTTAAAGAAGACATCTTTTCAAGAGAAGGACAATTAAAATAAATATAGATGTGATATAGTAAATACCTAGATACAAAAGTAATTTATTTTTACTTCGAAATATTTTAATAAGATGTTCGTAAATTTTATTTTAGAGATTGATTTCTTTGTCATGTTGCTGACATTAATCCCATGCGTCTTTCTTGGTTTGGAGTATGGTATCTTAATTGGCATCGTCGTCAACCTTGTAGCATTGCTGTATTTCTCGGCACGGCCTTCCGTTCAGACAAAAATTGAACAGGTACAGTGATAACAGATTAATTGATAAATCTTAGTATCAAATAATTTATTATCACTTATTTAGTATTATCACCTTAAATTATTACCTTTTAATATTTAAATAACAGCTCTTTCTAAACTGACGGAGAGTCGGTTTAAAAATATCGTTGCTGGAAGTACGTGTTTTTTCAACAGTCTGGAATATTTTCCTATATACTATGACTTAACTATGAGCGAGTATTATCTTTTTTTTTTGTCTCGAATACAGATCGAAGGGGAAACTGTAATAGTCGTAATACCCGAAGAAGCGATAGCCTTTCCAGCGGCGGAGCGGCTGCGTGCTAACATAATGAGGCTTTCGGGGGAAAGTGAATGCAACGTGATACTCGACTGTAAAAATCTGAAGAGGCTCGACGTTACAGTCGCTAAGGTAGGCAATGAGATTTCATTTACGATCGACGAGAAAAACATTAATGTCGACAGAAAATATTTTTTAAGATAGATTCGGAAAAAGAAACGCGAAAAAAAATAACCGAAGAGTATAAATTGCATTTTTTTTATCTCGATTGGAGTAAGACAATTAAGATTAATCTTTTGCTCTCAACGCTCTAGAGCTAGATATCAACATCATTAAAGAAATGAATCCATTAAAATTACATTATATAAAATGAGCTAGTATTAACAATGATATATAAGAGGGAATTTTATATATACATTTAACATATTAAATATTTAAATTGAAAATTAATCTTAAAAAATTAGGAAAAAAAATTAATAATATTACTGATAAATATGCTTGCTCGCAAAATCATTTGTATAAACGTGTAGCTATACAAAGGCACGATCTGATACTGCAAGGTTTATTCAGCAAACAACACACTGCACATACTAACGTGCTATATCATCGTTTTTTAAATTCTTATATAATTATAAAGTGTATTGTATAGCGCGAACATCACAAACCGAATTTTCTAGCGGAAATCTTTAAAGAGCCACGTGTATATGTTTAAAGAGTATCTTAAGAATGACACGTTATTGTTAAGCTTTTGAAGAATTGCGCTCGTCGATGAATATCGGTCAACGTATTGTTGATGTTCTGCTACGCGAACTTAGCTTCAATTTTATATATACTTATTTTTGCGGTTGCGTATTTTTTTTTGTAAAAGGAACTCGTGCACTCTTGCCGCGTCACATTGTAATTAACATAAAATCGATCGCCTTGCAGAACATCAAGCTTCTGGAAAAGGACCTTTCAGTACGCGGACAAACAATTGTCTGCAGTAATTGCTGCGAGAACGTGAGCGCCATCCTGAAGGTCGTAGCACCGGAATTATTAAACATCAAGGAAGGTAGAAGTAAAGCTGAGGGAGGATCGTTTCTCCCACAACCCGCGACCGCCTAGATTTATAAATACCATGGTAAGGCTTTTTAATAAAGATGTAAGTACCGGATATTATAAATTACCTTACATACGATATCGAATTCCTTTCTCAGAAACAATGAAGTTCGCGACTCATTAAATTAAATTTGTTTGTGTGCATTATTTATTTGAAATAAAACAAGTATATAATATAACATGAACCGCTCGAGAAAAAGAGAAAATGAAATGTCAAGAAGTATGCGAAAGTTGCAAAGCAAATATAAATTTTATATTTTTTATTCTGACTTTTATCACGCCGTTTTGCATATTCGTCAATCCCTATTCTAACAAACGTTTGTTCCTCTCTTCCTTAATATTTCATGGATATCTGATATTTTTTACGTGCCTATTCCGACGTAGCTAGTTAGGTTAGGTGCTACGATCGCACGAAGTTTATTTAACAAAACTGTCGCATCACAATTAAATTGTATCATTCGCATATAATTGAGAGTCCACTTCAAAAGACAATGAGTATTCAATATAAAAAATAAACGTAAGAATTTACTCACCGGAGGTGATACACTGCCATTGTTTACTCGCCAACTGCTCCACTGCTCCGGCTGCATGCTGCACGGCTCCAGCTTCCAGGCTCTGCATCCACTCGCGCGGGCACGATTAATTCGCAACGCGATACGACACTCCCGAGACTTATTGCGTACACGATAAACGCGAAACGGATAAAAAATACGCGAAATGCATACGTAAACGCACGGAGACAGACGGCGAGACACCATTGCTTCGCGTACAGTGTTTTCGCGGTTATGTCGACTGGACGAAGTTGTTGTTTCGAAGAGACGCGCCGGCAATTTCACACCGCTGCCTGAACCACGACAATTATATATCGATCTAACCGCAACATCGAATATCGTGAAGAGAAATATCTATCTCACATATATCTCTATTGATGCGACAATCTATTCAAAAGGGAGAGAGAAACAGAGAGAAAATAACCTGATGCACATAAAGAAATGAATGCCACGAATTCAAGCGTCCATCGATCGAAATCAATCTCTTTTGGTCCTCGAAATCTGTAAGATTTTTTTTCGCGGGATGCTACTTTCACATATACTCTCTCCGTGCGCGAGTTTCGAACGGATTTTCGGATTAATGAAGGTATATGACGGCGATTAAATGTTTTTTACGATAAACACGGACTCGCAATCAAGTATGCACATACACACGCAATGAGAGGTGACGCTACGTATCGGTGTGAAGTGCCCACGGCCACCTCGAATTTTTGCATCCGTGATTCGAGCGCTATCTGCGTTTAATCCACGGAGTACGGACGTAAAATAACTAGAGTAACTAGATTAACTAGACGCCGCCGATGCGAGATTGCGAGCTACATGTTTTCTATGCGTATGTCGCGTCAAATTTCGAACTCGGAAAAATAAACAGAAAACCGAGAAATCGAATTCTTGCCTATTTTTATTTCGAAAACTTCGAGTAACGCGTTATCATGTTGTATATAACATTAAATACAATAATAGATAGAAGTATGAATTTGTACTTTTTGTCCAACAGTCGTGTGCGACGAATGAGTATGTAGATATGAAAATACGTAACCCGGAAGTATGATATTAATGATGTTTTAGCCGATAGTGAACTTATTTGATCGAATTCGTGCCACGAGCACAGTGGAAGTTCGCGCCTCGCGACGCACGCTACATACGCAGCACCTTCCATCCCCCACAGTAAACAGTAAACACCTTGGCTCTCCGCAGCCCGCGCGCCCCGCACCGTGCCTGGTCGTGCCGACCGCCGCCGCCCGCGGCTCGCAGCCCCACCATGTGGCCGCTACCCCCACTACCTGCGCCTGCGCGCGCTGCGCCGTGCGACTGCGGGGTGCGTAGGCAGCCGCAATACCGGCAGTGGGGAAGAGGCATGGCGAGTGGAGGGTGTTGTGTAGCGCGCGCCGCGAACTTCCATTCTGGTGTCGCGGACTGATTGCCGACTGGCGTCGCGTAAACGATTCGAATTATTTCTCCTTTCCTCGAAAATTACCTTTATATTTTTTTGCTTATTTGTCGAGGCTTTGATAGCCGTGATTTTTTAATATCCATTGATAGCGCTATTGATAATCGCCAGAGATCTGAATGATCTGCATGCTTCGCGCGGCAAACAACTGCAAAAACATATATTATGCCTCTCGATAGTTCGTCTCTTTGTGTTTCCTTTTGAGAAAAAATTTTATCTGCGCGATAATGGTCTCTCTCGCAACTATTGTGCGACAAAATCTCGACTATGAGGGTCAAATAAAATGAAGCAAAACATAAAAGTGCCACAACACGTGTGTCTCAAAGGCGCAAAGAAAATGTGGGAGACGACTGCGACACGACACGTTTGCAGGATGCCTTCTGACCGAAATGGAGAATCATCTTTTATTGTAACATTTACTTTCGTTCCCGTTTTTTGTTCAGGTTAACCTAATTCGGAATATCGATGTTCTTAAGCGACACGCTTTCGGGGACTAGAAGCTTGTGATCTCCGGCGCGATTTGGTGGCATTTGCCGATGTGTCGTTCCATCGTTTCGTTTTCGCGCAGAATCCAGTAGCATATCTTGCAGTATCTCTGGCAGTGAGACTTGACGTGTGTCGACAGAGAAAACAAAGTGGCAATCGGTTCCTGGCACAGATTACACGCGTATCTTAAAGTGCGTCGATCGGTAACCTGAAAAAGTTCGACGACGATGAAAATTCCTTTTCTGATTTTTTTTTCATCAAGTCCGTATTTTAATATCTTCGCGATATTAAAATAAAACTACGTACGTTTCACCTTTCCTCCAATTCAAGATTAAGGTACGATACACTTGTATTTTATTTATGTACGTATCCGTAAAATGATATTTAACGATTAAGGTTAGGTTAGGTTAAAGATTTTTTCCGCTAATGTTATTAATTACATTTCATGTCATTAAGATTCTCATTACGAGGAATTATCGATGACGTTTTATTAAAATAGGTGCTTGATTTAATTATCGAATCGAATTCTTTATTATTATATGGCACGGCAATAATATATCTTGATGACATGCGTATAATAAAAATCTAAAACGCACGAAAAAAATGCAGCAACGTCTTTTTCGGTATGTTTATTAAGACAAATCGCTACGTTAAAAGTAAATACAGCGAATGTGTGAATCTTATCGCCTCAAAACATTTATTGATCGCTTCGGAAATTTTTCTCGATTCTAATTAATCGTCCCGATCCCGCGTCATTGACACCTACATTATTTTCGCTTTTCCGCAGAATCGTTTGCAAGAAACGCCGATAAGAACGGAGTTCGGATACCGTCGCGGGAATTGGTGGGAAAAAGTTGACCAAGACTGCTGGCTTTTAACGCCAAACGGCGAATGGACCGAAGGAAACGCAAGGAAAGTGTAAAAAACGCAGACAATCAAGGATACAGCTAAATGTCGTCTTTCAGTTTTTCTCCTGCATGATGTATTGCGCACATCGACGCCCTCGTCTTTTCCTCCGTCACGTCGCAATATTGTCGTTGACGCTAATCGTTGCTCTGTCTTCTGTCTAATGCGTCCGTTAAGAATGAGGTCGAGAAGAGAACGCCAAAGTTTCGCCAAGAAATAGAAAGAAAAATTCTCCCATTTTTCTCCCTTTTCTTTCGCTAGTAGTTAATTTTAAGAAAATGGTGTAAAATAGAAAGCAAACGATTTTGTGTGTAATTTAGTTTTTAAGAGGACCCTTTTGCGTCGACATAAAGTATTGTCGATGATAAAATATTGTGGTTTCTTCAAGTTAAATGTTTAGATAGCTTTTTTAATCAGTTGATCTTAAGCACATCACTCTGTAAATTACTTTGCTAATTACGTGTGCAATTTTAAGCAGACTCTCTTATATCTTTTAATACTGTCTTAGTAACAAATTTTTATTTGTTGTTTGTATCTCCGAAATTCATATTAAAGAATGGATCAACAATACAATACTAGAAAATGTATCAGAATAGAAGTAGATATGACTTATATGTAAGACAATATGTACCAATGTCAGAAAATAGTGCAATAGAAAAAATACATTTTTTAAAAGATTAAATTGTCATTTAAATTAAATATATATTTTAATGAATAATTATTAGAGAATTTATTTTACCTTTAATTTTACTTTTTGTAAAACTAAATTCGAGATAACAAAAAAATGAATAAAAGACCGGTCTCTCATGTATAATATCTACTTACAACAGTCGCATCACCACTACCACCATTGTCCACCTGTTTCTCAGAAATTACAGTGTAATGCGGCATTCTTGAACCAGCCTTCTCTTTTCGTCGTAGTAGAATAATCGGTTGTTTTGATACCTCAGACTGCAAATTATGAATCTTTATTTGCGTACATGTATTTTAAAAATTGCCATCGAACAACGATAAATGCGAACTCTTCTATCGTCTCTCGTTTTTACTTTCTTAAAATATATATTTGAAACATTATACTTTATAAATTATAACATCAAGAAATTTCCAAATGTAATTCTCGTTGCTGTAAATAAGGAGGGATACCTTTCTCACGGTTTGCACAGGTGTAGGGATATCATAGATGAAGTCTTTTTTCGTCATTTTCTCACTAATATTGCGATTACATCGCAGATTGTACTTGGAAGCATCCAGCAACTTGGCAGTTGATGCAACCTCTTGGCAAGCGTTCATATTTGCATTCTGCTAGTCATTTCTCTTATGTTTACCCGACTATCGATTATTCTTTCAGAACAAAAGCTTTCCACGCGAGAAATAACTGAAAATCGAGGACGCATTCAAAAGCAGTATATTACTTGTATCTTCTGAAATTTTAGTTCTTTTTCTCTTTTTAGAATATTCCTTTACACTTTAAACACTCTGAGAATAAAATGGATAACAGTAAACGAATAAAGTTTTAACAAACTGTATTTAAAACATGAACTGACAGAAAAAATACGATGGAAACTTGCCGCTAAGTGTGACAAGGATGCAACATGAATTTTTCATTAAACGAAATCACCCGTTTATTATGAAATTTATTTTTATTTTTGTTATAATTATAATTACAGACGTTCCTTACAGCATAACTTCTCAACTCAATGAGAATCACATCGATATAAGATTTAGCAAAACGTATCTTAACGTTACTTGTTACATGTTAAAAATCATCGATTTCGCATTAAGTTATTAGATGTTGCATATTATAAACAAAGAATAAGAGTAGCCTAATTTTTGTCTTAAATCTATTTCGTAACAACCTCCGTTATGTCAAAGGACACACCTTTAACTTTTATATTGTTGTCGCGGTCACTGAAAACATCACGATATTATATGTACATACGATTCTACCCTAGCCATCAATATTCAGCCGCCGTTATACATATATATATATAGATGTATGTATATATACATAACAAGTACAGGTATATTATATATATGTATTTAATATAATATATATTCCACGCATATAATATATATCATATATTCAATACGTATATATATTAGTTAATCAAAATAAAATGTTAAAAATAAATAGAACCATTTTATCTCTACAAAAAAAGAAGTATATTACGGCGCGATATTAATTTCGTATGACTAGAGAATTGTGGCATTGAGAAGTGATTAAAATTATCAGACAAGTAAATTACGCGTATCTCCCTATTAAACGAAAAGACATTTTGTTTTTTTTCTTTTATCATTCTAAGGAAGGACTATACTAGCCTTTATGTTCAACTAATTTACAATTGAAATATTCTAATTGTCATTGGACAAACTTTTGACATACGCTGCTTTTCTCGCATAATGAAGTTTAAATGGATTAAAGGATTAGATCTGTGTAAAAAAATTAGCTTGATAAAAAAATTAATTTTTTCATGTCGAAAGAGAATAATTCTAGAATTCTATCAAATTATTTTACTTTATACAAATTTACTCGAACAATATTTACATAATTCCTAATTAATTTTACACAATTCTATTTTACATATTTTTACATAATTCTAATCAAAATAAGAGTTTGTTATTCAGTTTTGTAATTTAGAAGAGCTCCAAAATTATGTTGTCTTCAACCCCGAAAATAATATGATGCTTCCATTATAGAAATAATTGCTATATACATCAATTCAATGATGAAAAACAATAAAAAATTCTGGAAAAATTTGTAGAAACATATACCAACTTCTCTTAAAAAATGCCGAAAAGTTTCTACTTGTCAATGCTACATTGGATAATCTAATCCTTTAAATCAATTATACTTTTTATATATAGAGCTTTACGCGCTCATTATGTCAAAATATAAAATATAACATTTAAGTGTAAATATTTTTTACATATAAAATCTAAGCTTTTAAATAGGCCTCTGATATTAAGAATAGGCGTTATTAAATCGTTGGCCACACACACAGAGAAAGAAGAGAGAGGGAAAGAGAGAGAAAGAAGCATATACTCTCTCTGCATTCTGTGTAATTTAACGTATTTAGAAGACATCATGACCTCTATATAACACCGAGAGTGTTCAGACGATTCCACTCTTGGGTATATTGCGACTACTTACTTATTGTAAAATAAATCATGGATTCGTCATAATAAAACAGATAAAAACCACTTTATTCTTCTAAAAACGATTATTGCGCGAGTCGAGGACGCTTTTTAAATGAAATTTCTAACGTTAGGATTCTCTGTTTTTTCTTAAAGACGAATCTTGATGCAACAGGAGCGGTATTCTTTCTTGTCTAACCTCGGGAAGTGTCGCCAGCTCTTGAACCGGACTTCGCTGCCATATACTTCTCGTTGCCATTTCATGGTAACCTCTTCTTCTTACCTTAGAGATCAGACGTTTTATTTTTAACATATCTGAGCACTCTTGTCAAAGTGGCTTGTAACGTTCCACATTACGTTGTACTCGCAATTCGAAATTTGTTAAATCGATTTGTTAAATCGCGAAATTGAAAATATAGATCAAAATACTTACTTGTCTATGATGAAGCTCATGCAGGTACAATGTAGACAAAGACATGTCGGCAGCGGTTAATTCTGTAGGTTCATACGGATCTGCATGCGCCTCCATAACATAACTGTGGCCCGATCCGAATACAGAAGCACCTAGCGATTGATTCGATATACCTTGCTGCAAATCGTATAGGAATCCTCTATCATTGTGCAATGGACCTTCCGTCCTGGACACACCGCGACGTAGAACGGTAGATTTTGTGGCTAACGACTGATCGACGCCGACCGACGTAGCCGACGTACCCGGCTGATTCGTGAAAATGTTACTCATGCTAGGTACACTCACTTGATTTATCGTGCTTCGAATAATATTCGATACGTGATCTCTATACTGTAAGAAAATAAATTAAGTAATATATTAGTGATACGCGAAGTGAACTTTATGAAAATTAATGTAGTAAGGAAGAGAGAAAAATCAAACACTTACGCCAAGACCGGATAAACTGTTCAAACTAGCTATCAGAGGATTGTTATAAGGATCAGGATCGGCAGTTACTTCCTTCTTCGCCCTTTCTCTCAAAGCAGTTACGAAATTCTCCGCATGGGACGGCGGTTTCCATTCGGGATTCGTCAGGGTGAAATGTATGAGGGACAACTCGGTCTTGCCGTCCTCGGCCTGGGTATAATGATTCGACATCGGTACGTGGTACTTGTCCGGATCGATGCCGTATTGATTGTCGTATCCTGCACTACGATCCTCTGGCAGCGGCGAGACTGTGGGACTGTGCGCTACGGTCTGCCACATGGGATTCCCGTGTCTACGTACGTCCATTTGAGCGAAGCTGCACACGTCACCGACTCCGGCGACTTCGATCGTGAAGTTACGAAAAAAGTCTACAATCTCCAGGGCTCGGTGTCTCATGCGGAAGCACAAAATGTACGTCGTCACGAATGGAGAAACCAGCTCTTCCAGAAGATGCACCGCGCGATATTGGAATAGCTGCGCCACCTGGGACCTGGTGGTATGCGTATGAGCAGTCCCCCGCCAACTGTCCGGCCTGTAATGCGTGTGGGCCAGGACAGCGGTCAGAAGAGTCTCGGGGCACCAAACTAAATTCTCATCGGGTACAATCGCCTTCGCGGCTGCCGCCACCGCGCCCAGCATAGTCATGTAGGCAACCACGCGCTCCATCGAGAATATCGGCTCGTAGATCACCGTTATGACCAGTAACACCGCCAATACGCTACCGGTGATGAACGCAATGTGCTTCGCTACTATTGTCATTATCGGTGACGTGAAGCTGCTCATGTACTTTGAAGCAGGACGGTACGCACGACTGAGACGCGCGTTCAACTCGTGATCGAGTTCGTTGAAATGTCGTAGGTACAGCCGACCGTACAGAGACCACGTCCGCATCGCCAGAACACTTGGTTCTCGTTTAATGGTCTGTCGATGTTATGCCACACGTTAGTATTGATTTAGCAAGTTAAAAGTCTCATTGATTACCACAAATAAGCATAATTACTCACCTCAGCGTAATTGAAAAATGTATAGAGAACTTGCCACAGAAGAATAAGGAAACACAAGACGAAATTTGCGATACCGACCCATAGAATGTGTTTAGATAATGATCGTGCGAGTTCTTGCCTTTTATTCAATTTTTTGTAATCCTCCTTCAGATGCCAATTATTTTCGAATGGTGACCATGGTCCCCCTAAAAAAAAAGCAATATAAATTATTTCTAGTAAAGTTATATCTATATAATTGCGCAATTATAATACTTACAAAATAATAATAATTCTATATTGTATTTCAATCCTCGTGTCAAAAAAATGACTTCTCCTATAAGGGGGACTTTGAGTCGCACGGGTAAGAGGGATTTGTTGATCATAGCTACCATGTAATTTTTATGTCTTAATATCCTATGGTATATATCTAATTCCGTAAGTTCTCTTTTGTGAATACACATCTCCTGCTCCTTCTGCACCTCTATCACACGCTTCTGAATCTCGTGCCATGTAAAATTGTCTAGCTCGCTATCGGCGATTTTGAGCGCTGTATTGAAGAACATTTTGATATCCCAGAATTGCGCCAGGTGATACAAAACTTTGAGAAATTGGAGGAAAAAGAAAATTGTCGCGACTACGAGAAGACTCCAGTAGAACGAAGAGATCGATTTCATGCAATCACCAAAGCACATTATGGCATCGCTTTTGTGGCTGGTATCGTTGCCCTTGCTATCTCCGCCACCGCTAAAAAGATAGAGTGTCAATTAAATATGAATTAAAACATAAGAATACAGAGAATACAGAGTCAAGATGTGCATAGATAATTCACAAGAGCTTAATGATAAGATATACCTGTATATCTTGGTGTAATCGATGCAGTGTAAGAGAAAGGTAACGAATGTGACTACAAAAAAGAATTGCAGTAATTCCAAAACTTCTTGGAGCATCATACAGACAAAGCCATGCTGCTGGTGATAGTGGTACATTCGCGTAAAGAATGAATCTAGGTCTTCGATGTGATTCCATCGTGCTTTGTTACCCTCCGGCACTACATGGATGATGACACCTGATTCTTGAGGAGCCTCCTCGCGATCGTCCTCATCATCCGCGTCCTCCTCCTGCCCCTCGTACGGCTGTATGCGTTGATAACTACTGTCCAGTACCGTCGTCATCTGCAAATGCAATTTACATAGAAGCACATATTAATTACAATTATATCTCGTTTAAGGATTTATATTATTAGATAAATATGCTTAGATAACAAATGTTTTAACAATAGGCATAATAATAAATTTTCCAACATATATTTTTCTATACAAAAAATTCTTACACTGAGGGAAAATTTATATTGTAATTAGAACACAAAACTAAATAATCATATCTTACCGTTTGTGCTCGTCGGTCAGGCTCTACACAGGTAATGACAGTTTCTCGTTTCATTCTTTCATGTCATAAAATTTATTTAGCTACCAGTCGATGGTTGTTCCACAAGCATCTAGAATGTAAATCAGTTACTAAATTAATATTAACCCTAATGTAGCAGTTCTCGATTGCTATACATTTTATCTCATCCAGGGGTATGTGTTGAAAAATATATCAATAAACAGATATTTCATTCTTACTTTATCGTAAACTAACCTAAAAAAATAAAAAATTATAATTAAAGAATAACAAAATCCAAACTTTTACAAGAAAATAATATCATAAATATTAAGTATTAAATCTTCATAAAAGATTATAATTGTCTGTTGTTCGATTACAAGAGAATTTACATGCATTGTCGTGTGAACCTTCTCGTGTAAAAATATTTTTAGAGAAAACTGTTGCCCTTTAGAGATTAATTCTAGCACAAAGGTGATAACAAAGGTAATGATAACAATCAACTTGTGCACAAAGAAAGTCACTTGGATTTTTTTAACAGATGCACATCCCCGTCTTATCGTGAAGCTAAAACCGCGACTATTGTTATTTAAGGAACGTTCTGAATGCATATCGTTTGAATAGATTTCCCTTTATTATCATTTCTTTCGAAATCCTCTTTATTGCGCGTCTTATCACGAGATTAATTTTTCATCAGCCGATTATTCATCGAATCGTACGTTTCACCTTGAACGTTTCGCTAGCGTTATATCAATGTGCGGACACACTTGTCCACACTTGTCTTTCGCGTTCACTTCTTCTCTGAATAGTAATATCGAGAGACGAAAAAAAAAAAGATGAAAATCAACAATGCTGCCTGCAACACGAAATCTTAGCCTCTCATGTGCTGCGAAATTTCTCGACTCTCGCGCAGGAACAACAAAGTTTTAGGATGCTCTGAAATGCTTCGAAACCTTAGATAGATGCCCCGACTTAAAACCGAGAGCCTAAACTGTGCCATTTTAGGAAATCGCAAAAAAATAATGAACTTTTTTCTTTGTTCTCTCTCTCTCTCTCTTCTTATTGTTAGCCCGTACGACTTCCGCAGTGAGTCAGGTATCTTTTTTTTCCATCTTTTTTTTGAGATCTCTTTCTCCGTACGAACGACGGATGCACGTGCGACCACACGTTCCTTGATCCCGTTTTCGTCCCCGCATTCGGCTGACCCTTTTTCGACGAAAATATAAGCAGACGTGGGTGGCTGGCGCTGGTCGCGAGAGCGCGCGCGAAACGGGAAGGGTGACGCGATGTTTGGGGGGCACACAGCTGATCTTTATAAACAAAGGCACATCCTCTCGCGTTTACCTTCGTGCCCGCGATCACGAGCGATGCCCCCGGCCCCGACGACGACGACGAATCTCTCCGTCCACTCGCGCGACTCAATGATTCCACCTACGGGCTACGCGCGACTGCCCGCTCGCATATCGGCCGCCGTTCGCGCGATTATTCACTGGCGATTTAGACATCGGGATCGTTTAAAACTGCACATCTGTCTCTCCGCGTTTCACCATCTTTGCTGAGTCCTCGGCCCCCTCTGTTCCCTCGGCTCCCGTCAGGGTGGAAGATAATGCAGTCATCGGCCGGTGGCGATGCCGAGGGAATCGCCGGAATCTGGCGAAAACAAATCGCACACAAATGTCCACGATTATCAATGATCGATAAAAGGCGCAGAGAGGTCTAACTGTAGGTAACTGGTAACATACGGTAAAGCTTCGCTCGCGTCTCCATCTCGCGGCGGTGGCCCGTACTATCTAGCGCCCCTCGGCACTTCTTGCGCGTCACTTCGGTCATTTTTGGCGCGTCGCCGGCGCGGAAAGGATCGCTCGCCGGCGGAGGGAGGATGAATAGCGTCGCGACTTGATCAAATGGTATATTGAAACCTATATCAATTTATATATATAACTTGTCGCAATATTGAATTATCGCGCAACGACGGATTTGATATGGAAAATTCATTACTATCGCGACGCCAAGAGCAGATCAACGCGCAACGCGCGGCGCGACGCCAAACGCGAGAGACGCTCCGCCATTAATTTTCGCATTCCTTTTTCGTTTCTGAACTCGACGGACGCGGAATACCGCAAAATATGAACGAATACCAATGCAATGCATGCCGATTTGATTATATCGCGTGTTAAACAATTCTGAAGATGGAAAGAGAACACTGCGTTAAAATAACGAAGCGGAGCTTCGTTTCTCGCGCGATCAAATTTATGCGTCGCGGTGACGCGGCCGGCGACTTATATCTTTTGAGGGGGCGATTGAGATATGCATGTTCCGCGAGATGTGCATACAATTTTGTCTGTAATATCCTCGAATCATCAAATACGATATTATTTATCCCAATTATAGGTCCAAAATACTCGCTCGGAGTAGGAGTAGAAAGTGCAGCCGAGAGCGAGCCGAGTGCAGCAACGCCGCGTCGGTATTCGATGGTCGCGCCTGTCGTGAGAAGTTGGCCGCGAAGTTCGAACGTTTTCCTCCGCCATTTTGAACCCGCACGGGACGCCGCATACGTGTGTCGCGATTTCGTGCGCGTCGTACACGTCGCGTTTCTCTCGCGTTTACTCTTCCGTCGCGATTATGCGTTTAAAGTGCGCGTCGCGTCGCGTCGCCAGCGATAACGAAACGGTATCGGGAGTGTCGCGCAAAGCGTCGCGCGATCATATTTCGGCGATTATATTGCGCGCGTCGCGCGTGCAGGGTTATGTCGTACGATGTATGACGCGTTCGAATTTTGGCGATTGTATTACACATACGCGTTACGTGTGACGACGGCGGATGTGCCGTATCAAATATCGCGCGAATCAAACTTCAGCGGTTATATAGTTTGTTTTAACACGCGTCGTATGCGATAATATCGGGAGTGCCGTACAAAGTGTCGCGCGTGACCGTATATTCCACTGGATTAACGCGTACGTAATCAGTCCTCCGGGCGTAATTTTCGCGAGTGCGATCGCTATATGGAGAAACAATGACAAGGAAACACGAGAGGGTCCGGAGAGACGAGGAGGAGGAGAAGCCCAAGGAAGACACGGCGCAGCAACCGGTGAGTAAGAGAGAAATTATTTGTTTATTTATTTATTTATTTAGTATGCGCGAGATTAATCGCAACGTTTATCTATAATTCTATAATATGCGAGTAGAACATTTTATTACTATGTGTCATTTTGAATTAATATGTGCAGATGTTATAAACATCAAATGTATTTAAAGAGATCTTTAAAATATTTAATTAAATATCTATTTACGAGATTTCTATAGATATTTGTACGTCCTGTCAATTTTGTATTACGTTAGATCTGTTTAAATACATTTGATATTTATAATATTGCATTATTATATTATATATATTATATAATATTAATTCAAAATGACATAAATACAATACGAAATTAAGTTTACGAAGTATTATTTCGATTTTGATTGAAAAACGCTAATTCAGATATTTTACATATTTACTCTCTACAGAAATGTAATATTGGAAGGTAATGATTAATTACTTATTTTAAGTACTAAAAGCACTGAGCAACAGTGCTCTTAGTATTCAGAATAAATAATTTTTAATATTAAATTGAATTTCTGTGGATTATATATGTCGTATGATAGACGCACGTTCTCGTCAGGGCAATTAAAATACTATTACAAATTTAAATTCTTCAAAAGAAGCTGTTTTCGCAAAAAAACACTATGTACACCTGCCGTTTTCGTCGTGACACGCGAGATGCCGTTTTATCGGTCAGAGAAACATATGAGGAAAAACATTATGAGTAAAAGGAAAGATCTCCGAGGTTGGCATTTGATATATTATTTAGTTAAGGGAACGCCTAATTTATATGAGATAATTTATACTCTTCTATCTTCGCGACGTGATTAATTGTTGGGAATCGTCATTCGGATCCTCGGACGAGTGCTTGATTCGCGGAGTTCGAGATGTCGGGGTGTCCTCCTTTATTCAGGCGACTATTTGACCTGGACGTCGCGGCTGTATCCTGCGTCGGGGCGCTAGGAGACCGCTCAGACCGCGCGTCTCCTCGTGCTTCGTGCTGGCCGCCGTGCTGGTCTCGGTTAAAACCACTTCGGTCGGTTCGGTCTCGCTAGCGGTGGTCTCCTCCTCGGAGGCAGTCTCCTCCTGGCTCGATTGGACAGCCGGGGTCTCTGTTACCTTGCGTCGCGGCAACAGCGGCGATCTTCTGATCGTCGGCGGCAACGGCGATTTTGTCGTGGTCTTCGGTTGCACCTGCAGCCGATTACGGTTGCGCAGTTTGTTCAGAGGATTCGATGTGGTGGATCGGGCCGGCGGGCTGGTCTCCGCTGGTGCCTGAGGAACAGAGATGATTAGTTGAGCAATTTATGCAAGATTTAAACGTTATTTCTCGGAATTTGATATTCTACTGAAACATGACTAAAATATATGAAAAATATAAGAAATAACTTCCGAATTCTGTTATTATGTACTAGAATTTTAAAAAAAAGAATAATAATTATAATATAATTTAAGAATACATTTTATAAGTAAATAAATTCTTCAGGTGCGATAAATTTAAAAATAGATTATGAAAGACATATGAAAAATATAGTTTTTTAGAATTTTAAATTAGCTATTTATCATAACGAAGCTAGTTTCATTCTTTGCTATTTTCAATCTTTCTCTCTCCCTTTTTTCTCTGCAGTTTCTATTTTTCGATCTATTATTCTTATCAGTGCTCAGCACTTGTAATTCATGACAACCGCGAAGTTGTAAAATCGAAAGGTGAAAAGCGATCGCGAACCGTCTCTCGCCGTCTCGTCGATGACATTTCGAAAGGCCATCCAGTGAAAGTAAACTCGAAGAGTGACTTTATCGAGTGACATCACGGTGTCCTCGTACCTAATCTTGCGAAGTATGCAGTTATCTCGCGACGATACACATATACATACATATTTGAGATAGAATTTCAGATTTAATCTTACCACCTTTGGCATGCGGAATTGCTAGTAAATCGAGAGAAAGAGATATCTGCATAATTATATACGATTTGCTCGGTAACAAACGTTGATTAAATAGTCGGTGTGTATAATCCAATTAGTTAAAACATATCTTTTATCAGTAATATACAAAATTAATATCTTTAATAAACTTTAAATTTTGAAATACATTGAAAGAAATATATTTTTAAATATCTCTTATCAGTAATATACAAAATTAATATCTTTAATAAATTTTCAATTTTGAAATACATTGAAAGAAATATATTTTTATATAAAAAAAGAAAAGTATCAAAAATGCAAATGCGTAAAATTCCAACCTCATGAGTTTCCTCTTCGGTTCCTTCTCCAGCTGGTTCCTCGACGGACCCTTCAGGGGCTTCCGGTGCGAGCGTTGTCGTGGTCGTCTGTCCCGGTTTTTGCCTCAGATTGACCCTATTGCCACCCGGTCTGATGGCCGGTCTGATCGCGGGCGCGCCAGGAAGTCTCGTGCGAACGGCGGATTTGGGGGATGCACTTTCCGGCGCGGTCTGGGCGACGATCTGACCGTTTTCGGAATGCGTCGCTCCCTCCTGGGGTTCCTCGCCTCCCGACGTGGATGTGGTCGGTCGTCCGCGTCTCCGATTGATGTTTAGCTTATTGAAGGTAGGTCGTGCCGGTGCAGCTGCCGTTGCACCGTTTGACGGCGCCGTTGTTGTGGAGACGGGGATTCTGCCGCCGGTAGGTGCGCGGAATCTGCCGCGACCGGCTGGCGGTTTCTCCGCATTCGTCGACCCAGCGGTCTCCTTTTGCACGGTATCCTCCTCGATCGGCTTGTGATTGCCGCCCGGCCGAGGTCGCTTGAATCCACCACCGTTCGAACCATTGCTGCCGAAACGTGCTCGGGTTTTTTGGGTCGACTCTAAAGGTGCTTCGGTCGTGCTAATGCCGACCGAACCGTTGGACTTGAACCTGGTGAAAATTATGTAATTGTATAATGAAGCGAAATTATGTGTATAATTCTCATTACTAGGAGACTCATAAAACGAATTTTTAAAATAAGTAGACATACAAAAAAAGAATTAATTCTTTAATAAAAATATACCGATTTCTCGAGATAGCTGGACCGCCAATTCCAGGTCGTCGGAATTTCCCTCTTCCTACAGGAACTTGAGTAGTGCTGGTCGGTGGTTCCGTGGTCGTTGTCGTTGTAGTCGTCGGTTCGGTCGTCGTTGTCGTCGTCGTCGTCGTGCTGGTGGACTCATTAACGATCGTAGAATCGGCCAGATCCGCCGTTGTTGTCAAGTCAGTCGTGATCTCATCGTCGGATACCGTTGTGCTGTCTCCGGCTGTTTCGTTGGCTTCACTGCTGGACGCGTCTATCAAATTACTCTGTCCTTGCTGCAAGAAGGCGTAAAGATCCAGGGCAACCTTGTCCATAACAGACGGATATTCGGTTGTTGGATTATCCGTGGAGTCAGCAGTAACGCTGGGATAAATCGGCGAAGCTTCCGTCTCGCCGGACTCTTGTGTCCTGTTCTCCAAAGATACACGTTTGTTGCCGGATCTTTCCGGTGCGGCAGTCTCCTCATCATCGTCCTCCGCGCTAAAACGTATCGGCTGACCTCTGCTCAATTCTACTCCGGCCTGAAAATTGATTAGTTCGTGTAAAGTTATTTATTTTATTACTGCAAAATACCTTCATAACTTAAAAATGCAGTCTGAATTATGACGAAATTAATAAAATTGTGTTATAAAATATTTGCTAATCTAATTAATCATTAAAAATGCATTTAATATTTTTTCACATTCAAATTAGTTTTCGCAGATTGTATTGTATCATATTTTAATTGTTTAAACGTTAATGTTTCCATTTCTGTTATTAATTTAATGTATTTATATTAGAATATTTAATTAATGATTGATTTTTAAATTAGAATGTAATTCTGTATATTTAAATATCTTTTTTAAATTTATTTTAATTAAAATAATTACCTCAGCCGATGCTGTGGTGCTCAGACGTCTTCTAGGAGTCGGTGTATCATCGACAACTTCTTCGACAGGAGCAGGTTCTTGAATTCTCTGTGGTCTTCCGCGGTTTCTGCTCAAAAGTTTCTCCTCGTTGTCCTCATTGGGGGTAACACCTAAGAATCTAACAGGTCCTTTTGGTAAGGTTTGCGGAAACTCAGGACCCTCTTGATGGGTCCGGAAACTGCTGGAATCAACCAGATCGAGACTCGGTCGCGGTCGGTTACTACGAGTTCGCGAAGGTTCCGTTGTGCCTGTATTGTGATTCGATCGCGATCTGTTAACAATCAACCGTATAATTAATCGTATAATTATCATATTTTACATTGAAACATAAAGTTGTTGACGATGAAAATGTTGAACACACAGCTTTACTAAAGAGAAAATGTGAATATATTTCTAGAAAATATTTTACTTACAATTAAGAGAAATATCGCTTTTTTTTTTAAACTGTCGATATATATTGTTATGGATGTAATTGTGAACACATAGATTTTATTAAATGCCACACAATTGTGATAAATACCTCGGTGGGAAACGAGTGTTCGCCGGTAGTCTTTCATCGGAAATGTCTTCAGTTTCGACCAATTGTCTGCCTCTATTACCATTTCTATTTGGAATGACCTCGTTATTGCTAGGCTCCACGGTGCTCGACCTCTCCACGGTACTGTACTTGCTTCTGTTGTTGTTGGCGGTGGCTACTCTCCTGGGCGCCGAGGTTGTTCTGGAAGGAATGTCGTAAGAATTCGTCACAGGCGAACCCGCGGTACCTGCTTTGTTTTCATCCTCCTCATCGTAGTAATAATACACATACTCGTATTCGTAATCCTTCCCGTTCGGTCCTTTCTTCACCTATTCGATATGAAAAGGAGCAAGAGTTACGATTTGATCGAAAATGTTCTGAGAGAGAATATAAAAATAGAATTATACATGTTTTATGTTTATTCTTTAAGGACAATTTCCGTCGCATACATTTTATCCCACTAAACTAAACATAAGTATAAAAAGTATAATTAATTCATTAATTTTTAATATACCTGAATACGAGAATTTGTACCAGCCGGTACCAAACTCACGTCACCCAGATCCCCGAAATTCGCGTCCGAAAAACGCGCATAGCCATCTTTGCTATCCTCTCGTATAATGTTTACGGGAACGAAATCAAAGAGACTGTCTTTGCTACGTGCTTCACGTGGAGTTGTCAGGATGGGTAACATAGTTGTCGGATATTCCGCACTAAAGATATGCAAATAATATTTCATCATTATTGGAATATAAAAAAAATATATATTTTTTTGTATTAAATATGAAGAAAAATTAAACAGAGAGAGAGAGAGAGAGAGAGAGAGAGAGAGAGAGAGAATATAGTTTACGAAACTATATTACGTTCTTTTAAATAAAACAGGTAAATTCTTTTAAACAAGAATAGAGAATATTTTATTTTTTCTTTAAATATTTAAATATCGATAAAAATCTAAAGAAATTATTATAGAATTAAGAAAAATATTAGTATAATCAATGAATATTTAGTGTAATCAATTAATTATTTATCGATCATTACGAATCGTCAGAAATTTATATCTTCGTTTCATTTATAGAATTCGCGATCAAGTCAGTTATTCAAAAATATTTTACCTGACGTAGACTCCCGGAATAACTTCATCCTGTTCGGTCGGCCGCGGCCTTTTAGAGTCAATTTTCTTTATTCTGCCTTCCTGCAGAACCTTGCCAGTGTCGCTAAAATTCTCGAGCTCGACTCGCGCTTGTCTTTTAGCGGTGAGACTCTCCAAGTCATCCTCTTCGGTCAAATCCAAACGTCTGGCAGGTTCAAGAGTAGCCGCTTTTTTCTCGACATTCTCGAATTTCTGAGTGACTTTCTTAACTTGTTTATTGTCTTTAAACGCGACTTTTTTTTCGTCAATATATTCGTCATCGTCATCGTCATCCAATGGTTTCGCTACGTTTTCCGGCAATTTGTGCGATGTCACAAATTCTGAAAGTTCGTCAAAATTTATACCATTTTATTCAAACGCTAAAAATTTAATAAACTGTAATAATTCTCGGTCGAATGTCACAAGTTTAAGAGCACCAGTAATGATTTAGAAAAAAACGAGATAAAACAAGAACCTATTATTCTTATTTTATTTAATGTTAAATTAATTTATCTCGCATTTGAACTTGTGAGTTAATCCGCGGTTTCGAAATTTTTATTTATTAAAATGCTGTGCAATCTCTCTACCTTCAATCGCGATGGCCCGCGGTGGTTGATATGTCGTTGCTGCAACATTTTTTCGAGTCAAATTGTCATCTGATATCTGCACGACATCCGATGGACTGCCCGCTAGTGTGCCCGCAATGACGCCGCATATTCTGCAAATTTTAATACAAAGACGCATTATTAATAAATCTAACGTGATTACTTTTACGCGTGTCATAAGGTACAAAGAAAGTCTAAGTATTTAATGATTAATCTCCGCAGTAGATCTATGTTTTATTGTTCAAATTGATATACAGTTAATATAAAGAGAGTACGAAAGAAAGTTATCATATTATCGTACGGTATAATGACGCATCATCAGCGAAAGTGATAAGGCGCGTGTGAGATGTAGGGAGGCAAGGTGTAAACGATGGCGGCATGTGTATAGCTAATGCAAGATTTGATTGGTGGTGAAAGTTCACATCTGGTCGTCGAATCGCAAGCTGCATCCGACGCTCGACTGATTCTCATCGGTCACTCGATTCTTCACACCCGTTACGCAAAAATTAGTTCATCAATAACGCAAAATTCGAACGTCATTCAACAATATTTCAGCAACTTGAAGAATTTTGTAATAATTAAACTGAAGAAAGTAGCATACTCTGTAAAAAATTTCATTTTGCTGAAGCAGAAAATAATTCGCGAAGCGGATTGAATTATTTTAATATTCGGAAAAATTCTATTATTATTGATTTCATTTTTTGAAAAAAAATATTAAGATCGTCTAATGTTCATTTAAGCCAGCATACGGATACCAGCATACGACCTCGTCCCCCTTTTTCCCAAGGTTGCCGAAATTCGTGATCACAGCTTTCACAGTTGTTGAACTTTTAACTTCATTAACATCCATTTATTTTTATTACAGCGCGTAACAGCGATAAAATCTTGACATTTTAAAAATATTTTCTACATTTCTCGTAGAAAAAGTTTTCTCAAAAAAGTAGAGAGAGAGAGAGAGAGAGTTTTGAACAAAGTTGGAAAAAGTGTTGTAAGACGATAAGAATCTTGAATTTATGGCATTGTATTCACAAGGACGATCGGTTACAATCGGTATCATTTCCTTCATGAATGAAGGAGAGCCGCTTCTGAAATTAACACGAATGCTCAGAGCTTTTTTCCCTCAGTAAAATGTGGCTGGCAAGGATACTATATATATAGTCACGGAATTATCATTTTAAAAGGCAATTCTCTGACGCAATACTATATGTGTTTCTTTAATGCAAAGTGTTAGGGTGACTTATGTATTTTAATATTAATAGTTTTGCATCGATAGTTACAATTTGCCTTGCTATATTATTATTTTTACGCTTAAAATGGTAAAATTTAATTTTTGTAACATTTTCTACTGTGATTTCTACTGTGCGTAATTATTCTCATTTTTCCTATAACTATTAATCTTTCTAGATTAAAGAAAATGCTTTATTTTTATTGCATCAATATAATGGTATCAATATTTACCATTTTGTAATTAATTTGCATCTTATGGAAAGAGAAATAAGCCTACGACATTTACAACAGGAAATCGTTGTTGAATATGCACCGTTCCGTTTGAGCGATCTTCCGGTACAAGAATAATTTACAACTGGAATACATTTACAAATAAAGTAGAACAAATTATAAGATACGTTCTTTCGCTACTATACGATCGAGCCAGATATAGGACCGATAAATAGCAGTATGTGAATAGAATTTATAAATCTGTTCTTTTTCAATCGTTTAGGAATATAGTTTCTCTGATTCACAATTTTTCTCTGCAGTGATTCAACATTTCATAATTTGCAGCTTTATGTAGTTTATTGGATGGACAAATATTATAAATACAAATATTTATATGTATATGCAAAATATTCTATGCCTAGCAAATCTTTATCTCACTTCAGAATTCTGAAATTCTGTCATCAATAAATTATATTTAATTATTTCCAATATTCAATTTCTAATATTTTATAATTACAGTTTAAAATTGATGTAGATATCTACAAAAATTTTAACTTTAAATATTTATAATTCGCTAATCATCAGAAACGATACTATAAGAAAAATTTAAGTTTGATAATTAAGGGATCAAGGGACACATAAGGGCGCATCCCATAACTCAATCTTAGACCGAAAATGGACGTTTAATGCAAGAATTTATCGCGAAATCGTATGGAGAAAGCGGTCTCGCTTACAAGCGTATCTGCATAAACATACTGCGTATACGTAGGTATATCCAGTGGCACGAGACACTGGCATTACGTAAGTCACAATATTACGGCAAAAGCCTATTACCAGCCCGTAAATGTTTTTTCGTGCCGCCTACGAAATACGGCTCTCTACGAATAAATTTGCTGAAAGTTAATAGGAAAAAAATGCAAAATTCTGATTATCTAAAATTTCTATCAATTTTCTTTTCGCTCTTTTTTATCTATCATCACATATTAGATATTATAATAGATCGCATTTAAAAATATATGTAACAATTTAATTATTCAAAGAGATCCAGTAATATAATAATAATATAGGTACGGCTTTCAGCTAATATAATAAACTGTTTTTTCAAACAGTTAAAGCTACTCGAAATTTAACTAATCTTCTAGCATTTCTGTTTTTTTTAAATTAATTCTATGACTTTATTTAATATTTTAATATTAATGGATTCAAGATCAGGTTTTTCGTGGCAATATTTGCAGTTATTTTTATTTCGGATAGTATCGTAAAATCGAAAGGTGAATAATGAGGCATTTAAAGTATTTATTAATGTTAACTTTTTTTTGCGTATCAGCAGTTCTTTATCTGATGTTTAAAATTATACAAAAGAATATATTAATTTTATTATTTAAAATACTACATAATTTTATTTCTGAAGTAATATATCTATTATTAAATATAGATTATATAAAAAAATATTTTATTTACATATATTAGTATATTTCATAGGAAAATAACTTTTTTCAACAATGCAACATTATTATTAATATCATTGGAATGCATCTAATGACGTGCTTTACCTAGAGTAAAGCGTTATAAATTCATATATTTGTGACGCTCTCACTAAACATGTGTAATGTGGAGCCAAAGTGCGTGTGGTCTGACTATTACTCGCTTGTGTTATTTCGTTATAAATCTCGCTTGGAAAAATTTTAGATTGATTTAATAATAAAACACTTGAAATTCTTGAAAATCAAACGCATGTAGAATGGGGCGGATTAATTTAATTGCTCTTTAATTTATATTTTGTTAAATGCATTAAAATAATTATAGAATATAAAAGGTATATAAGCAGATAGAAAATAAATTGCCAGTAACTGGTCAGTAACTGGATTCTTGGTTATTTGTTTTTATTTATTAATTTTTTATTTAAGTCTATATATTTTATGCATACATAAATTTATTTTCTTTATTTATATTTATATTAACACATATATATATATATTTTTTTTTAATTCTTACTTTACATATTTCAATTTATACATGATTGAACATCGTAAGATATGATCCAGTTGGATTAATTTCTTTCTTTGATCGACAGTTTAAAATTGAGGGCACGTCTGGAAATTTCTTCAAAATAAATTATACATACACATTCGCCTGAATGAAACTGTAAGTAATTGGCGTATCTAAGAGAGTGAGTCGTTGATTGAGCGCTCCTTTCGCTACGATAATTCTCGTAATTCAGAAGCGTAATATCCCCTCTGCCCATGAAAAACCGCTTTTCTCCGTATCTATAATCATTTATAATCATTAGCCGTGATTTTATATGAGTCGTTTAACAAGAATTTTTTTATTATTCGCATAGGTTACGGTAGAATTAGACATCGATTAATGTGAATCTTACAAATGATGCATATATATCAGAATAATTTTCTTGATACATTAGCATATCCTAATTACTGAGTCCTTGAATAATCATTAATATAAAAAAATCAAAATAAAGAGGCAATTAAAATTGTATGTCAAATATATTTTGTTTCATTGTTCGTTTCCATTCGAAGCAAAATTTGCATAACTCTTTGTATTGCGTGCAAAAGTATAGAAACATTATAATAGATATTATAGTGTCAAGAAAAAAAATTAAATGAAAAAGTGACTGTAAAATATTTGATAGTATTTATATAAAATAACACGTAAACAGGAACTAATTTAGAAATGCAGTGCATAGCATGTTGGTTACATCAAAGATACGCATGAAGTGTTAACTGAAACTTAATTATCATTTTCAGTGAATGTAGAAAGGAATTTTTCTAGAGAAATTCAGATTCAAACAAACTGTGTCGAATTTATAATTCTATATTCTTATTCGTGGATAACCAGCATTCGGTAATAAAGTTTTTGTAACTTCCTGAATTTTTAATGTATATATATTTGAAACTTTTAATATTTAAAACGTTTTTAATGGTTAAAAATAATATCGTGTGTTTTATATAACTTCCATTTATGTGTATTTTTAATATGATTTAATCCGTTATCTCGGATAAGTACAATCTTTGAATTTTAATAGATTAGATAATTCTTGAATTATCAATTGAATTACATACATATTAGAATTTTAGAATTCATTTTAAAAAGAACTTTCAGATATTAATATCTCTACGAAAACATGTAGATTTTTTTATGTTTTACTATTATATTTGCAGGCTTGCATTTGTGTATATAGAGAATTTACATACATGAAATACTCTTAATATATGTATATTATCAAGTTATTTTTTTATTTCTTTCGAAATAAGATTCTGTAAAGTTCTCTGTAAAGTAGCTAACTCAGTTATGTGCTTAAATTTCTCACAACCAAGATTTGATTTCACAAAGATCTAATTCTCACACACACCCGTCATTGAGATCGCACTCTCAGATTAAAAAGAGAAGGACTGTTGATTAGTCGAGTTACTCACAGGAGCACGCTTCTTAGCCACATGTCTGCACTGCACACAGTTCTCTTCCTCGTCCTGCTCGCCTTTCCTCGTTCCGCTCCCGCCGTGATACGCGAACAGCTGCTTCAGGTTAACGAAACTCTTCCCGATATCAGTATCCGGCAGTATTTCGACACTCTCGAAAATATACTCTGCGAGTATACTATTGATGCTCTACTTATGTGTATGTATCGTCACCGGACACTCGCGATCATCTCTGACCTCTGTCCTCTTCCCGATCGGATCGCGACCGGCACTTGTCTTCCAGCTGCACGCGAAGGGACCTAGCCGTCGATATATTCACTGGATTCTCCAGGACGTGTACGCGCGCCTCGGCTGACGTGACGGTCGTGACCCCCGTCTCAGCTTCGTGACGCGACTTCGCCGACGAGGCGCGAAACAAATGAACGAATGGCAAAGCGAACGCGCACCGATAGACGGAGAAAGACAGATCAAGTGAGAGTGTGTGCGTACGTGTGCGTTTGTACGACAGAGACGGAGAGAGGGAGAGAGAGAAAGGGAGAGGGGGAGGGGGGGAGAGAGAGAGAGAGAGAAAAGAAAAGATAAAAAGTAAAAAAAGGGGCACTAAGTAAAAGTAAGAGGTAGCCGAAGGACGTGGTGAGGGTATGAGAACGGTGGCGAATGCAGGCCTCTACTTATACCGCCACCCACCACGGCCACCCGGAGTGCACCCCACCAGCCCGTGAAAAGTGGACACCACGTAGTCGAACTCGACTCGGCTCTTGAGTCTTGGTACACACCGGGGGCCACCGGGGGACCCAGGCCAGGAGATCCTGGCTGGCTCTTCTTGGCTTGGCTGCACGTTCGCCTGGCGGCATATATCTCAGTCCCAACCACCTGACTTCTCACGATGTCTGACCCGACTTCGCGAGAAGCACCGTTTCTACTATAAGTGTGCATTGAGAAGCTCCGTTCTCTCGATCTCGCGTATTGTCTCACGTTTGCACCACAAAGCAATGTGCGATTTCGATGCAGCTGAGATTCTGTTTTAAAACTAAACATACGAAAGTAATAATAAAATAAAATTTTATTTGAGAAAATGATTAACAAGTTTCAGACGTAATATTTGCTATGGACTTTCGATGCTTGTTGATTGCTTCCCGCTGCTATTAAATGATTCTAAAAATTTCTCCTCACCGTGGCGTAAAGTTACACTCTGCTGATGCAATTTCGCCCATCCCGACAGATATCCTTGTCTCCCCTCTCTTTTTAAATCTCTTCTCACGGAGGAAGTGACTTCTCCAGTCGTGCGGGAAGGGATTTCACCGAGATTTCGAGGAACGTCTCGATTAGCACGGATGGCTTTCATAATATGCAATTTCGCCTGAATCACTTCGTGTACATCGAAAAGGCGGTTCTTGCATTAGAAATGCGAAGCCGATCGCGTCAAAGAGATCCACCGTTGAAACGGTGACAAGATAAGAAAAGGGGCACGAGACCGTGAAATGTAGAATCGCTCTTCAACGAGCTTGTCTTTTCCTCGCAGCGACAACCAGCGAAGCGCGATTCCGCCACGGATACCGAGAGCGAAAACGTGCTTGAAGGGATCGATAATCTTTATTGGGGCCATTGCATAAGCCGCTGCAGCATCTTCACTTCCTCCTACACTCGACAAAGAGATATCTCCTCGCCATGTTTATCGCCATGTTTAACTTTTATCGCCATTCTACGAAAGTTGCAAGCTCTTCCCGTCGAGTGCTAATTTATTTTTCGACACGAAAGTATTTTTTTCCTATTTTCTCAGCAATCCCCTTTACCTTATTTGATTATTTTACATGAGAAATCAAAATTGTATCAATCGTATTGCAATCTAGAATAATTTTTATACTCAAACATGTCACTCCAACAAGTTCTAAAAGTAGAAATTACACTTCAGCCACTACTTAAAAACAGAGTGACGAAACGAATCAAGATATCCGGTAAACGTCGAGATTTGATTTGCTAAGATCGTCGCACGTTCGATTCGTGTAATTAAGTTGTTGGCGAGAAATCATGCGAGACTTTTCTAACAATAATTCGCAAAGATGGTGCGCGTCGATCGTCACCGTAGGTGTCAAGGCCCAGTGAAACCGACAGCGGTATAAATTATCCAGCCTGGAGCGTCGCGCCAAGAACCAGAAGGCAGCTGCGCGGCGTTAAAGGTCTTTGCGTCTCGTTGCGCAAGAAGAATGTCGATCCATTAGGACCAGGCCGGGCTATGATAATCCGCGAGCGCGAGTGTTGAGAATATCGAACGGTCGTATTGACGGTCTGTTTTTTTTTCCGGAGGAAATTTTAATAGGCGTGTTTAGAGGGAAACGTTAGTCGTTAATATTCGAAATCTCCTAAGCGCGAGATATTCCTTGTGCCGTTAACACGATAGAAAAGTGAAGAATAAAAGTAGGAAGAGATTTTATTAGATTTCTTGACACATACACATATTTGCGATTTTATGCCTCGTCATTAATGCGATATAAATTCAGTCACTGAACTGAAATTTATCCCATTGCAGTAATTATTCTGATTGGCAGCTATATAAATTATTTTATATCAGTAAATTTGTAAAGCAGAAAGAGGAGTGAGTCTTCCAAAAGCACGAATTTGAAAGTGAAATTTTACGTATAAGACATGATGTTGCAGTTTTGTAAGTTTAATTGTTTTGAAAAGTCGAGACATCCTTTGCGATTATATCTTTGCGCTTCTCAGATACGCGATAATTGACTAGGTAGCGGAGTAGGATAAATCACGAGTCGAATCATTGACCAGATTCTTCAGTCAAGTGTTTCAATAACTACTTATATTCTCGCGGATATACGTGGACCAGAAACAGCGATTCTCCGTAGGCGTATGCATGTACACGTGTAAGAAGTCGATACATATGTATATGCACGTGTGTGTACGTGTGTTTGCGCGTATACGTACATATGTATGTATCTATGAGACTTTCTCTCGGCAAGGAGAGCACCCGTGCGCGCCCCTCGAATAGGCAGGCACGTGAAACGCGCGAGAGAACAATGTCTTTTTTGCCGCGCTATTACGCCGCGAATAGGGTGACATAACGCGAAGTTCAATTGTCGGGAACAAGCTCTTCGCTCCACGTAGGCGAACGTAACGTTCGAATATTGCATTGCCCACCGAGTGGAACGGGTCGTCGTCGCGCAGAAAGTCCGTAAAACAATATTCAAATCGCGATATCTCGTCTATTCGTCCAGCGAGAATTGATGAGGCAACCCGCGGGTGGGAGAATAAGTTCGCAGCTATGTAGAACATGATCGTTCAACTCCGCAGCCGTTGATATAACCGCGGAATATATAATCTTCACCTCGGTCCTTTCGCAAGAGGAAACTAACCGCAGCATCTCGAAAATTCGCCTAAACTCATGGCTCAATTCCTACTGGCAATATCTCGTGGCAAGTCACGTTTGCAATAAAAACACAATATCAGAATCATAACGAATCTTTCGAAAGTGTCTGTTCGCAGGATGGTATTTTCGTTCACGGAAAAAACGACAAATGCCATAGCAAGGAATAAATTGCAATTCTCATATAACTTATAAATAAATTACAAATAATTAACATAATGATATCTTCACTCTCGCAGATTGTCTCTGCAATAAAGTCCACTTAATAGTAATAATAAATTACAATACTTATATAACTTATAAATAAATTACAAATAATTAACGTAATAATATCGTCGCTCTTGCAAATTGTCACTGCAATAAAATTCATTGAATGTAAATTTATAAACACAACCGTTTTAATTTTATAATAATAAATTACAACAAAATTTTAGCTCTAACTTCGATATACATAATATAAAAAATTAATTAACTTTTTAAAATATTGAATATATAAATTTTACTTATTTTTTATTTCTTAAATTTATATTATGAAACCTGCTAATTTTTTTATTACTGCCTCAGCATTATTTAATTTTCCAGCCTGAATTTTGCTTTATGGATATGAATATGAACATCTAGAATGCAAGATACGTTCTTTAAAGTACTCGTTTGATAACGGGAAGGCACTTGTAGCGTATATGATCACAATTTGTGTATGGGCATTGAATCAGCTCGGAGACGATTGCCATTCATCGCGGCGCGTGCGATATCCGCTGCAACGTACCGCGGCGGACCTTCTGTATGCGAGTCGAAGGCTAAATACGACCGGCCATTGACTGCTACCTGCGAACTTACTTCTGCGCGCACGTGAAAATCGCCGGTGTCCAGCGACCTTGTCGAATAATAATGATCCTCTTGCTGACCGAGATCGCGTCGGGACAAACAAATCGCGCGCGAGCGAAGAAAAAAAGTTGAGAAATTTCAGGGACGACCTTTCGCACGAGTGAAATTTCCGTCTGTCGCTTGTCTCGCGGTTGTTTTATTGCCGATGTAAAATCGCGTCGAGCGTACACTTGACGACCGTCAGCGCAAGTGGCAAAAAACGTGGACGGACAATTAATGGCAACGATAATTGAAGTAGTCGAAAATTCATCTTATAAATTGCTTTCGCGAATTATTTATTTTTTTTACGTTTACTATTAATTAAAAAAAAGGAGAATCTACAAAATTTTAAAATAATTAATAATGTTACTAATTTTGATAATAAGGGATGATTCTTACTTTTGACTTATTTTCCGCTTTATTTGCGAAAAGACGTTTCCACTAGTGGATCCTAAAAGGCATGCGAAACGACCCGATGCACTTTGCGCCTCGGTCCGCAAGAGTGACGTGCTATTTTCCTTTCTATCGATAGGAGGGACTCCCGCAGGTTGCCAGCGTCGCTTTGGAACGGTTGGAACGGTTCTCGATCTCGATCGCGTGTCTCTTTATGCCGAGGTCGTTGGTACACACACACACACACACACACACATGTGCGCACTTTTAACAGAATATGTACATGGAGATATGTACACAGTATGTTCGCGAGAAACGGGGAACCTTGACTGCACTTTCGCGGAACTCGCGTTGCATCCCAATCGACCTTTAAAGGACCACAACCGATGTTTTCCCAGCCGACTTTCGAAAAGCAGTTAGAACACGCGAGTTCGCATAATACGTACCTGACTGGAATTCTCGACGCCACCGTGGATAAAGGCATTTTTAATATTTGCGCTTTACCGCGGCTTTGAAGAATCAGTGAAAAGCCTGTTTTCCAATCTGCAACTCTCTCTTTCTCTCTCGTCTCTCGTTGCGTTTCATTGTCAACCGTTTAAACCACGAAATAAGGTACTCAATTATCCTTTAAAACGGATTCCTATCCATGAAAGGATCTCGGTCACCACATTATAATTACAGATATGCGAATGTGGAATGGATCATATGAAAGGTACTTTCTCAGGAAGTAGGTGAGATTGTTTATCTCACATATTGGACCTAGAACTAAAAAAAAGTCTAATTGTCGACTTGTTCGATAGATAATTAAATGAGTAAATAATCTTTACAATATTATTGTACGCGTTCGAATTATATAGAGCTATTTCATTTTCTATTCTATGTTTTTTTTTCTCTAATTCAATTGGAAAGTACTTTCAGCTCAAAGACCCTGATGAATATTGCTCCACTTTTGATACGTAGATAAATATGTACTCTTTATCTGTATTTTCACTAAAAAGCCTTCTCGATGCCGAGAAGTCTGTCATTAGAAGGTTGTAATTAAGATCTAGATATGTATGTCACAAGACATTTAAAAAAATGCAATTCTTTTAGTTTTTCAAGTTGATGATATGCTTTAGGATGATTAACAGATAAAAAAAGTTAAAAGATAATATTTTTTGTGAAACGATGTGTTTTCTACAATAAAACTGTGAAGTCATGGTAGACTAACGTTCTCCAGTCTTATTTAGGTTTTAAAGATTTTTCTAAGGCAGCGTTTTAGAAGAGGCTTTTACCAGGCTTGTTAGTAAATATGAATTGAAAATTTTTGCATCATGTAGATTATTATATTCTATATTTTCTCACATCGTGAGTAAATACGCGTATCTAAATCTACGATTCAATGCAGATTTCGCTTATAGATTCCACTTGGTGTACGTGCATATGCTTCATAATTTCGACGTGACTTGACGAACTTGCGTGAGCGATACTGCGTGTTTCGGTGACATTGATGTTTCTATTAATAGCATCGTTTTTAACGTGATAATTTTACTGAAGTATTTTTTTTATTGTATCAGAAGAAAAACAATTCGGGTTTAATATTCATTAAATTCGAAATTGAAGTATGCTATGCTGATGCAAATTGTGACCATTTGCTTTGATCTACACATCCTGTTTTTGGCTTTTATACACAAAATAAAATATTATCTACATAATAAATATATGTGTTTTATATACAGAATAAAATAGTTTGAGTCGAAATATTAAAGACCGACTCGGCTGGAGAAATATTGATATAGAGTATCTACTAATTATTTAGATATACCAAATACATTTGGTAGTTAATTGAATATCAAAGAGTATTGCCATGTCATTAAATATCTAATATATTATTACATTGCAAAATTAAAACATAAACGAGATATAAACGGCATTCTTCAAACGTTTTCAAGTTGCAAGTAGAAAGTATTTTAATCGCATGCATCGAGAAACATAGAACGGGTGATTAATTCATGTAAAAGTCGCAGACGATGGGCTACTCGCCAGAGAAGTCAGCATTTTGAGTAGCCGCACGCTTTGCAGCTGGGCATCAAACGTTACCGATTAAATGTAAAAACATCACGACAAATGGCGTGTAGCCAATAGGTACAGTGCCGTTTTTCAGTTCGGATTCACTTTTACAAACTTTGCTTTCTCTATGAGCTGCACGAATCCGCTTCGTCGCTTCTATTTTCGAAACACGTAAAACGTGAATGAGCCTTTGTTGAAATGTTCCATTAAGAGGATAAATTTTTATTTTATTAAAGTCACTACATAAAAACTTAAGAATTTACATCAGTAATGAGTTCCGAAAAAATCAGATCATATATTTTCACATCTGTCACATTTATTTCGATTTTTTATGAAAATGTTTGTAAGTTCTTTTACGATTGACGATAGAGGACAGCTTGATTGTAAATTATATTCTTGCCCATAGGACCGCAGTTGTTTGTAAAGCTTTCGCGAATGCGACACGTCGAAGTGAAATCCCGGCATTACAAAATATCTTCTTGCATATCTAGAATCGACTAATTCATTCAATGTTAAGGACAGAAAAGAACCGGAATTTCTAGCGCGCGCGTAAATATTAATGAAGACGCGAAGACAATGGCATCATTGGCTAAAATCGCGTGTACGGTAGAATAGTCTATTACGACTTTATAAGCCATCATGCATCTCTAATGGTTTGCGTGCCGCTATTTAAAGAGGCCGGAATAGAGAGAAAGATATAAAGCGAAAAATCTTTTCAACCGAATAAACGATTTCGATTGAAGGAAATTGGGATACTTTTATTATTATACATTTACAAGACAAATAATTTCTCTTAAACGTGTTTGTTTCATCTATCTCTTGCATGTCTAAGTTAAGGGCTTTTGCCGCCGCGAATAAATCGCCAGCGGAGAGATACGACATTCGCGAGTGATAATAAAGTGTTTTCGATTTCGATTTCAGCAGAGACGAGACGACGATGATGAAATCCATCGTGGCGCCCAAAGGAATTTCATGGAAAGTGCCTCCCACTCGCCTGTCTCTCTTTCTCTCTTCCTCTCTCCGTTCGAGATCGACCGGTCCAGGTATTTTCCTTTCTCATTTATCCCGATACTCTCTCGCCCCTGACGTTAGCGCGTGTCGCGGCTAATAACGCGTACGGATCTCTCGGAAGTAATTCTCGTGTTTCCCCATTTGCAAACGCGCATTTATCACGAGCTTATGGGAGACGCGCCGAGACGTCCGTCCTCGACGGAACGTACGCATGAAAGCACACATCCGCAACGTATTTCTCTTATAATTTATTTCTCTCTTTCTTTCTCTTGCTGTCTTCGCAGGATCTACCGTTGTGTTTCCTTATGTAATGACGATATATTACTCCGTCGTAAAAGAAATAACGGGATAGAACTGTGAGAGGAGCATTATCACTGTTCGAGAGATCGAAAGCAAAATAGCGGCATAATTATCTCCATTATTTTCATCTACCGTTGCTATTACATTATAATAAGATTATTCTCCAGGTGTTTGTTTTGCTTTCAATGTATTATTTTATTGTCCAAGCAGAAAACGTTACGTATCCCGTAGGATTTAAGAAAGATATATTTATAAATTTTTTGAAGAAATTAGTTTTAACGTGAGCACTCTTTTCTTTTCTTCGACTGTGGATATTTAAAATGCATCTAATGCACGCTATCGCTTTTACGAAATGCATCCCGTCCGAGAATCGCTCGTAGAGAAAGATCTCGCGCGCGGCCGGGCATTCCGGTTTCGCGAAACCGGATATCAACTTGACCTACTTTGCACCGCGACGATCGCGAAGTTCTACATTGCGTTACGTGCATAGTGAACGCAAGGAGTATCGCAGAACTGTCGTTCACAGGGATGAGACGAATGAAAGCCGAATCGTGAATAATGGAAGCTTTTATATGAAATCAACAATTTTTTTTCGATTTTATAAATAAAAGGATGCAAATTAAGATGAGAAAATTATTATCTTTAGTTAATTTCAAGTTGAATGAAATGTCTTTTGTAAGATTAAACTAACCGATAGTGATAATTGAAGTTAATTATTTAAGGACATTTAAAGACATGGGAAAAAACGAGAAATGTGTGTTAATAAAATTCCGCTATTAATATTATGTATAGTAATGAATATTGTTGGTCTTATATTCATTGGAATTAGATTCCAGGTAAAGATATGGAATAACGTAACGATCGAGACGTCATTTCTTTATGGGTGATAGTTCTGGGATACCTTGTACACATGGTGACCTTAACATTGGTATACACGATATATACACATACCCACACGCGCGACACGTGGCACACCGTGTCGTGTGGGCGCCCAATATCAATCGCGGTGCGCCGGTGAAAACGTTATAATTATACTGTCACTCGCGTGTGCGTATTATTTTTTCTTATATACGATATGTTAATTCAATATCGCGTCGAATGCATCGTATTCACCGAGAACGATGTCGTTACTTTGCGTACGATTCTCATCGTGCGCGTTACGCAATTAGGTATTTGAGTATAAAAAGTTGCGCAAGGAGTTGGATAAAAAGCCAAATAGGCATAAGTCTCATAGGCGAATTTATCGCTGCAGTCATCGTTAGGTAATCGAGGCCGGGTTTAACAATTACAAATTCGTCACGGTGATTCGTCCGAATCCTACGGAGTAGCTTCTCGCAATTTCTGCTTTCTCGCTTACGGTAGCGTGAAGTACGTTACGCCGCGTCGCGTCAGGTTTTTCCGGATTCATCGAAAATATATTCTATTTTACAATCGAGCGAGAGCGCGTTTATTTTCCGCCGCTGTCGCATCGCCGCCTGTCGGTCCTCGCGCGCTGTTAGTCCTGCCTGCACGTTGAGCGCGCGTGGACGGATGCGATATCAGGGAAAGTGAATAAGGATCTCCTCTCCGCCCGAGAGAGAAAGTCCCCTTCCTCTTCCCCCATCTCCTTTCTCTCTCTCCGCGCGGTATTTCATTTTACTTTACCGCGCTGTGGCTCGGTGTTATTATCGTTCATTGATTTCGCCCGATCAGGATATAAAACCGTTCGAATTGCAATCCTACCCGTTACCGTCGTAAAACGTCAACGACACTTGTCGCGCCTTTTTCTTATTGACACGCGTTCAATCGAGACAGGAAAGCTGTTAGCAAACGAGACATCCTGTTCGCGATTCAAAGATCGATACCAGGCTGATTAATCGAACGATCAGAGACACGTGACACGCGATTATTCAATGTGTGCGTACTCTTGCGAATAAAAAAAAGAGTTATCTGGTTCGGGAGAAATGGAATATAATGACTATAAGTTATAAGATGTCCAAGAAATATCTGATTCTTTTTTTAAATGCTTTATTAAAAATAAAATATGCATACTTTAAATCTCTTCAAGCGACATAAAACGGAAGATGTAAGAGATATGAGATATAAAACTATTACTGTTAGGAAAATATTTTATTTTATTTTATTTGGCCTAATAAAAAGTATATTTACACGGAATTTAGACGATTTTCTTTTGCAAATTATTCTCTGTAAACATCGCTCTTATCTACTTAGCCAGCTGGTTAGTTACATTAATCAATATACTATTAGATTTCGTTTTATACCTTCTGCGTAATTCGCTCTCGCCAATACTTCTCGCCAAGCAGTAAATAACATCTCATTATTATATCATCCTGAGATGAACATATTCGCGCCGTCTTGTGTAATCCTCGGCCTCGCGAGAAATGATATATCAGAGTATCTCTTTCTAACGCAACACTCTCCTTTATCCTCGCAAATGAAATGTAATTACGAGCTGTTGTAGCGCGCGTGCAATCGACAAACACACTTATTCGCTCCTGGAGGATATGCACTGTTACAGTTTGTGCAATACGCTGAGTTACATATAATGCATGCCATATTTCCATAATCGTTTCCTGATGTTGCAATGACATTTCGTCGGCGACAGCGAGTGCAATTGCAATTTTCACCGAGATGCGTTCGCCGTCGCAGTCACGTTTGTCGCGAGACCGTTTCCTTATACCGGTAATTATTATGTTTATTTTAGATTACATTTTGAAACAACAATAGAATTCAGAGTAATTAAGTTCAGAGCATTTCAATAGATTATTTGAGTATTCAGAGTATAGAAAAATGGGAAAAAATTGATACTCCCCTTATAGAAATTTAATAGATTTAATTAAAGCACTGAATGCTTTTAATATGCTCGGAAAATTCATGTATAAACAGTAGTATATCGTAAAACAAACATTATGAGATAACATCTTTTTTAAAAATATAATGAATTCTACGAAATATGTCATAGTCTATATAGAGATGTGTACACAGATGTGTGAAAAAAAATCCACATAGAAACATGATTACTCTCCTGCAATCTCTCCTACGACATTATCGAAAGGTCAACGTGGAACTTGTTGTATTGCCCACGGATATTTCTGTTTGCACTTAAAAGTCGTACATTATGACCATCTCAGGCATTAGTTATGTAATTGGCTGTAATGTAATATATGCAACGAAGTTAAACACGAATATATATTTCTACAATCATTTCATTATTACAGCAGATAAAGTTTCAGAAATGCATAACAGATATAACCAATTCTTGTTTCATTTCCAGTGAATCTTAATTTAACAGAATATATTAACTCTTAAACGGCAATCACTAGCGCGTTTAATGTTATAAAATAAAGTTGCCAACAAAGATGATATTCCATGTAATTCTCGCCAAGAAAAAGATGTTCTTAAATTCGCTAGAGAATCCGTAGACAAAGAAACAATCGGAGAATGTTCGAAGATGAAGTCAGGTTTAACCTTTGCCATAATAACAGCGATAATAAATCGTGATGGTAAAGAGCTTCGCGCGCGCGCAACCTGAGAAATCGTAAATAGCGACGTCAAAATTTTTCTCTCTTTGCTGGACGCTATTTTTTTCGGTCGTGTCCAAAGATGGAAATCGTTTATTCGTTACTTTCCTTCCGCAATACGATAACGGTTTCGCTGCGCGACTGAGGGCCGCGGGAAGTGTCAGCGGTTGTAATAACGACGGAGGTCGAGAGAAACGGGAAATTCCTGACGGAATGTCGTCTCGATCAAGGATGACCGGTGAACCACGGGCGCGAGATCACTCCTGATTCACGATTAGAACCTTACGTAGGCGCTGTCGCGAAAGCATTGCCTATACACGTGAATTCGCGGATCTGCACACGTGTATCCCCCGAGTCGTTGTCTCTCGTTTGAGAGCATTCCTCCGATTGTTACGTTTGCTGTAATGCTACCGCTTGTCGATTTATCATATTATATATCTCTTTCTGCCGAGGTCAATATTTTCGATACTTTTGGCGATAGTTCTAGCTTGTTTTTCAATCTTCCGGAATTAAAGGCTTGCAGACGAAAGGACGAATTGCTGCTAAGCTGCAAATATATCGCGATTCCTTTGTGTTTTTCAGGAACGATTTTTATTTTAAAATTGCACGCAAAAAGGACGATTCTGAAATATTTAAAAATTTAAGTATATCCCTATCTGCTTATATTTTTTTTTAAACACAGATCTGAAAATAATTTTGTCTGGACTGTCAAAATAATGGGCTTGTTGCAACTGTGGGGTTAACCCACATTTTGTAACGGAGAGAAAATGAACTCTAAGGTTAAAATGTTGAGCTTTATAGAATTTATTTTTTGTGATTGTATAAAATGTTATAAAAAATGTTGATTAGGCCACTGTTGCAACAAGCCCTTCAATTATGTAGAAAACTGAAACTAAAACATGATGAGCAATAAGTTTTGATATTGTATAAGCAGTGCTAGTAGCTTGAATGTTCTAGCATACATAATATAATTATTTTGATAGTCCAGTAAAATTATTTTCAGATCTCTCGCTAAATTTTTAGATACTCCAGCAAAATCATTCTTTCCGTATGTTTACTGTTTTAACTTCGAGTATTATATCATAAGCAATTCAATTAATATCAACTGTCCTTCCATATAGCTTGCTTTTAAATGTCAATTTTTTTACTAGATGTCTGTAAGTTTTTTCTTTTTTTAGGTCGAAACACGTTTCGTTCTACCCATGACATTTTCTTTTCTTCTCTGATTTCTAAGAATAGCGATGCTCCTGCTCGCAAGTCACACCCGCTTTCGTTTTTTTTTTCCTCTCCTTCTCACCTTCCCTTTCGTCGTTCGTGGCCAAAATGTGCCATCCCGCGGTGTCAGGACGCGGCGCTCGGATATTCTTTGTGAGTGAAATGTTCCTCGTAAAGGCCTCAAGGCCGACCAGATGCCACCTCTCACTTTCTTGCCTGTCGTATACTTCTGCTCTTACGAGCCTCGGTCGCGACCACCTTTCTCTCTCTCTCCCTCGTTTCTTTTCGTTTTCTAGCATTTTATCCACAATCTCTCCCTCCAACACATCAACGATTCGCGGTCCTCTCGTCTCACGAGATCTGCAATCGCAAAATCCAAGGCTGCACGGGACACGGCCGAAACCACAAATCCCCTCTATGCGAACCCCGCCCGGTAAAATCGAGTCCACGATGAACTTTAAAGTTCAGCGCTCTCGTGTCGGCGCGGCGGACGAATTACGGTCGCCTATAGGTCACGTAAACGCCGACGTTTCGATTAGTTTTCGACCAGTCGCAGATTTGTATCGCGGGCTGGTCGATCGTTGTTTCCAGCTCTCGGATCCTTTGTGCCGAAAAACCCGTTATTGTCAATGTGTTGTAGGAGTCAGTATGTGTTAAGATGTGCAATATTGAATGAGGAATGAACACAGGATACTCTCTCACTTTAAAGATTCGTTACCTATAAATAATACATATAGTTTGCATTGTCATTACTCTGTCACGAGCTACATTTAATTAGAACGTGCTTTAATGTTATTTCTTGGTAATTGCAACGGCAGTTGACTCGTTGAAGCACACCTTACTTTTTAAAGCCTCGATCTCGCGCTTCGCTTCGATCGTGCCGGTCGAGACATTTCTGCATATATCGTGAGTTTGGGCGTGCAAGAGACATTTCGATGGGGGTGAAAGGCATTAAAACGAGCGCTTGTGAAGAGGTCGTGATTGGATTATTTATCGGCAATAAAGTGGGTCGGTCGCACAACCAAACTTTCGGAGTTTCGGGAGTGGTATAGGTAATGCGGCACTTCTCGTGCGGCACACTCGCTGCACATAATGTAAGAATGCGGGAGTGCACGCCCTGAACGCCTCCAACATTCCGAAGTTCGTCGTAGGACGTTTTCTCCCGTGTGCACATTCCGCGAGGATGCGTGTGCATTATTTTTACACGAGCTCGAGCATTTGCGAACTCTGAACGGGACAATAATGGAGAACGTTAGGCGTCCGGCGCCGATCGGATGAGTCAGGAATTGAATACGTTTGCTCTACGAGATCGCCTAAATCTCAAACTATGAGTCATACGTTAACACAAGCTTCTTTTTTGAGTTCCAAACAGATATAATGATGAATAGCCCGTGTAAGAACAATAAAAGTAATAAACTTTCACGCAGTTACGAATTTTTCTTTTACTTTGCTGCCAAATAATTGTAAATATAACTAAAAGTAATAGCGTGAATTAAATTGAATAATTAAAAAGAATATTCTTGGACATACGAATATTTAATTGTTTAAATTATTGACTATGTGTATATGTAGTGTAAATTTAAAAATGGCAAGAGAAATGCCATTTTACTCTCGCGCATTAAGAATAAAATTCCGTACGCGCACAAAGGGAACGTTGTTTCGCAATTTTTGTCATACGTAATTAAGATTTTACACTTGACTGATGACGTAGTCTAACAGCGTTCATTTTCCTCTAATTACATCTCATCTTTGTTTTGAACAATGAGTTATTGTATTTTTTTTGTGAGATCATTAAATTATATCTCTCGTAATGAGACAAGCTTGACAGTACATCTAATACTAATTGGAAGGATACGTAAGAGATAATTGATTGATAATTAATGTAACGTCATAATTATAAATAGCTGTATTTTTTTATCTGCGCGCAAAATAATTTTTAATTGCATCAAAATCTATTTAAAAAATAATTATCAACAAATATTTTATTGGAAGTTATAAAATTATTAAGATATTGATTAATTTCTGTAAACAATATAAACAAATTGAATGAAGAGTTATCTTTATATTTTAGAAGAGTATTCTTTAAATATATTAAAGAATTTTTATTATTTTGTTTGCAACTACTTTTTATATTATTAGCATTAATTAAAAGTTTCATTTTTTTCCCTTGCATTCTGAATTTAATTATTATAAATTGTATTTGAACTTCGTTATATTATAAAAAGTTACATATAAAAAATGTAATTTTAAAGAAGGTAATTTTAGTTTAAACAAGTTTACATATTGATTTTAAACATTTCGTTTTCTCTGTATTTAAATAACACAATTAATAATAAGATATCATTTTAGTGAGTTTCTACATTATGAAAATAATTTAATGGCTACATGGAATAGAGTCGCTTTCCAGAGAAACTTTATTGTCACATTAATTTACATTTATACAATAGGTGATTTAGGTGCTTGACGGACGACAGTGTTTTGCTATGTACACATCACTTTTCCATCATCCCTTGCACGCGTCTATCGAAGCTTAGTGTGGCTAAGGGGAAGATCTCGTTCCTTCGATTAACACCCGTCGTAATAACTGATATTTCCCAGCTTTCTGTTGATTGTTTGTGTTTTTAATACCGCGCGATGTAAGACGTAAACGAAGCTGTCGTTCTTCGAGAAAGACATGATGTCTCCACATGAATCGTGCCCAAAATGCATTACAATTTTTATTTAGTATTAATTGTGCATCGAAAGTCCGCGTACACGGAAATCGAGAATATGTTCCGAATCTATAAAGTATTTCTAAGAATTCGGCGAGTAAATATCGTTTTACAAAAATTGTACATTGTGAGAAAGACGACGGTTTTCGGGCGCTGATCGGTTGTTGAATTCGATTAATGCGCGTTCTAAGAAATCAACAAGCTCAGGGCTCTCTCATCAGGAATTGGCGATCGGTTTAGCTACGCCTGCGGTAGGAGCTGGCTTTAGGCTTTACTTGGACCTCCTCCCGCTGGGTCTCCTCGACTTCCTCCTGAACAATCTTTCCTCTTCCTCCGAACCTGCCGCGCCCCGATGTTCTCGCCTCGTTACCCGCACTAGCTTTGCTACGATTGCTTGTACTAGCTCTGGAAACATATCACTTTATTGTAATAATATATAACATGTCTTGAGTAGAAAAAGCATACAAGACGTTTAAAACAATTATTATCTTTTTGAAATAAAAATGATTGAATATTGCTGAGAAATATAAAGTTACAAAGAGTTATAAAGAGAGTAAATATCTTCTTTTTTTCAAAATTTGCATTACTTTGACTTGGCTGTGGTATGTTCCACTGCAGAATGTGTGGTGGCAGTTTCACGTGAATGGCTACTAGGTCCGGTTTGAGCTCTTCGCCTTTTCAAGGCAGCCAAAAGATCCTCGTTTGATCTGAAATTACATTAATTCTATAATGTAATTTTATGATGTACAGATCAAGCATAGAATTCGTTATAAAATATCTGAAGGTAAAAATATCTATGGATTATATTATTATTGCATAAGTGGTTACCTGAAGGGCCTGACGCCACCGTTATTTCGAAGTTTCTTCGCAGATTCGGTCGTCGTCGTGGGTGCTTCGTGTTCCTGATTTTCATCGAGCGCGTCTTCATCTTCCACCACATCTTCTTCGGGCGCTTGTTCCACCGGCTTTGACGTCGTTGATTGTGCCTGGAAAGGGAAAGCAGGGGAGAAGAAAAGATTATTTTGTGATTAAAATATTGACTTTATTTCGATATTTTGTGATTTCCTTCGTATAGGTATACGTTGTCATACAAATGCGTTAATATAAAAGATGTTGGACTCACTTGTGCTTTCTTTTTTCCTACATTTGGTACATTGACACGTCCTCTCGAAGATAGAAGACCTCCCAGTCGATTTGCTGGCTTTGTTGGCGCCGGCGTTACCGGCGCTGCTGCCTCCTCTTCGTAATCATACTCCTCTTCGGCTGATTTGCAGACGGCTATTATACAAAGGGCTAATATTCTGCAAAGAACACGTTTATGCGTATTAAAATTTTTGACTATATTAATGTATTTTTTTTTAAATTTACTTTATCTTTGACAAAATATTATGTATATATAATTCGCTGCTTAGCATTTTTTACTTGTACTATTTTTTTATCAACACATCGAATTGTTCTACGATTCGTGCGTTTGCTTTCCTTCTACACATTTTGCTTAAAAGAAAAAGGTACAAGATTGTAAAATTAATTAATTCTTTTAATGTTCAGCCACGTTAAAGATGTATATCTCTTTAAAAAATAGAACAAATAAAGGTTGTAAATATCTATAATACAGTATCGTATATTGTCATTGCAAATGTGCGACAGTGCAGGTTACAGCAAACGTCTTAGAAAACAATTTTTCTGATCGAGAAAAAAGTCATCGAACGATCGTGTGAAAACCGTGACGATCTATGCTCTGTCGCTATTTACGCTAAAAAAAGTGTGTTATTTAAGTAGCGGCGTAACGCCATCGCGAAACAAGTTTATTGCGGTTAAATTGACAGGCTGCACTTAGAAGACAGCGGAATACGCAAGTCAGAGTATTGCTTAGTTAGGGAACTTAATAGCCCGAGCGTAAGATTATGCGGTTGTTATTTTAAGGACTTAAACGCAGGAGCCATTTTATGTATCGCGCGAGGCTCACTTCTTATATAACTCACATTATGACTTTACTATTTTTAAGATCTTTCTATTAGAGAAAAAGATTTAACATTCATTTTATATACATGTGTTTCAACCTAAATTTTTACGTTATTATTTAATTATTTCTCGTTTCTAATTTTGAACTTTTAAAGGTTTTCTCCGAAAGAAATAGATTTTTTGAACTTTGATAGCCATCCGTTTCTTGAGTGCAGATTTTTTTATTTTCGGAAGACCGATGAATCGATTTGCTTCTTTGAAATGGAAACGAGTCGAAGCGCGAATTTTGCGCAGGACGCACGCAGGACGGCTGACCGGTCGCAACTTTCGCCAGGATCGAAAAAGGAATCCGAGGACGAGAGATCCTACTCGCGACGTGCGCTGCAACGATTATTATGTGCGCTCGGAGCGCGGCGCGCTGCCCGGCTCGTTCGCATGTTCGCCGTTCGCGTTCGCGTTCGCTCGTAGTAAATCCGCGTACACCAGGTGGATTTTGACCTGTGACATTCACGTACACGGGACTCACTTTCTCTGCACGGTTCTCGTGCAACTCGCGCGCCGCGGCGCTCGGGATTGGCCGCGCCGTTACGACGGGACATTCATACGTGAGGCGGCTCACAAATGTCAAGAAAACCAGCCGAACCTCGGGGTGAAGAAAGGGGGAGAAATTTCGAGGGATCCGTGCGGGAGACGACGAGCCCGGCGATCTCGATCGCCGCAGGAATACGCACGCTGGCGCGATTGCGAAGGCACGAATTCGAAACGCGAATTGGAACGAAAACAATGACGACATCTCACTTGAAGATAATCTTTGACACGTGGATGACAGTGTCGTTGTTGTTATACGAAAAACAACCGTGTCGTTTCGTTAAATTTAAATATGTTTAATAATAATTTCTAAGCTTTAGGATTCTCCCTGCATATCAGGGGATAATTATTTTTGTTTATTGTATGAAATCGGAAATGGTACACGTCGGAAAGAACGCGTTTGCTGAAATTGTGTCAAATTTTTTTTAAACTGGAGTACGATCATAATTGATAGCGGCATGGTAATTATCAATCAATTGACTTGATTCATAGTTGAAATTAATTCACTCATCGCTTCTCATTCATTAATTATAATCGTGTTTACACAGACAGATTGGCATTAGTGATGGGATGTAATGATGGGTGAAGACGTATTTGAATTCTTTGCAGGATATTTGTACAAAAATTACAAATTAATTTTTATTGTGTGTCAAAATTATTAAATAATTTGGAAGAAAATTTCTACATTTATCTTGAAGAAAACTTTGCGAAATTTATCAAATATATTTCGTATCTTTTCATAAAATGTAAAATAAATTCCGAACGGGTAGCCGGCATTTACAATGTGTCATTGTATTCGCGTCCTCAATTTCCAGCAGACATTTTAGGATATATTACAACATGTCCAAACTTGGTCATTGTTCGTATAGAATTCATAAGCAGATTCCTTGGTGCACTTATTGATCAAAGCGTTGTCTGACGGGATAATTCTGCCAGAATTTCTCAAGATTACCTTGAACGTCTGCTTCGACGACGAATAAATTTTAACGAATGTTTAAAGCGGTTTCAATACGTTTGTGAGACCTTGCAGCCATTCGCGAATTTCAATGTGGATTCAATAATGAGTTGAACTAATAGGGAACATAAGATCGAATAGAATGTGCTTTAAATGTAAAGCAGTTTGCACTATCATACTTATCAATAATATTTGTATTATAAGATATTAACACGTACGTATTTCTAAAATTTTCCGGGTAGTAGTTTTTTTTATCCGAAGACAAACATAAGTTTGTCTCGCAGCTAATAACATTTTAACATCTCGAGTTAACAATAAGTGTTCTTTTTCACTTTCACATTTCGAGCATCTCCTTCTCATTTAAAGACTGGCCTTTAACAGATTCTTGACGTAAGTTTCTACACGCTTCTGGCTACAATCGCTGTTACCTCATTGCACAGAAGTCCTTTATTCGCGAGTGATGCTCAAGCTCCTTGTTGAAAGGACACACTCGGGAGAATAAAAATTGTTCCACAGTCTGTTCTCTGTATGCAAAGTTAATTGAAAATGACGCGTGTCATTTATTAAATTGTGCCACCATAACGTCTCCGATGAATATTCTTGTACTGTGGATGCATTAGCTGACGCTTCATTAATATTCTAGATGATTATTCTCACTGTGTTGGGGATAAAAATCCGACTCCTGAGTTCTTCGAAACGGAACGTTTGTTGCTCATTATTCATTACGTGACATCATGCGATATAATGCTTTTACCGTTAGCAAGGACATTTACCGTCTACGCTTAACGGGATTATACCAATATAATTCGCACATTTTAATTGAAGCGTAAACAACCGAAGATTAATAGTCTTAATTTTGTTGTTTTCTTTGGACTTATCTTGTCGTTCCACTTTTGCTTTTAAAATTCTCTAAATTCTACAAGGAAACTGTAATAAAAAAATTGTTTTATTAATCATTATTAATTATTTTGTTTAAATATGTATTTGTAAAATATATAAGAGGCGTGCACGATCGAATATATTTGACACTTTCAATTTTACATTATTATGAAGGATATAGCTTGTTATTTTTTTGGAATATATAGCACTTTAAGATATTATAATTATTTGTTATTAATCCTAGGTTTTGTTTCAATTTAATGTATAGAAATATTTTAGATAAAATCTTGATAATGAATTGTTGAATAGTAGAAAGTATCTAATTTAAATTAGCAAGGAAGTTGCAAGTATTAGGTTATCGATTCATGATTATTAACGAGATGTAGAATTCCATATATGACATGTTCTTACATTCATACATTCATGTTTATTTTACATCATAATATAAATGATAATGCGGTGATACTCACAAGCGCTGATTGATTCCCGATCAGAACGCGTGGTTTTTTTATAACTTACAACTTCTTGAAATCGTGCTTATTTTCCTTTTTTCTGATATTTAATTTAATGTCTTATTTTAATGAAGTAATAGACGTTGTGTGACTTCTATCAACCAAGAATTATTTCGGCAATACATATTAGGAATATTCTCGCGACAAAAGAAGTATGAAATTTTTATGGTTTAGACTTTAGAAAAAATTGAGGATACAAAGTGACGATAATTTATACAGAAATCTTAGTGGAAAGTTAAAATGAAACGCAAAAGAAGTCGTGCAATTGATTTACCCGCCTGTGGAATCTGCGATCTACTTTTTCTTTTTATCAGCGAAACCGGTTCACTGAGTAAACGAGAATAGCCACTCGGCGTAATTAATGAGCATAATCCCCGTTGTATGCGGGGGCTGCGAGAAACTGTCCGAATGCGGAATATATTTTCGCGTTAGCATAATACCTCCCGACGTACGTAAATCTTGATTTATATCTCGCGAGTGAAGTAATTCATCGTCCGTCCGACTATACGTAGCGTCGCGCGCGACGCGGGATCACTGAACTTCACTTAGAACTTCGCCTTGGAAGAAAGCGATTACATTCGCATTATATTCCACCTGCAGGATGTCGTTAACGATTGTGCGTGGGCTCGCGTTGCTTCTGTCCCGCATAAGAAATCTTTTGTCATCTTCATACCTCTCTCATTTTTCTATCGCTACCTTTTCTGTATTTTAGCGTTCCTTAGCATTTTAACTTCTCTCTTTACGCGTCTTTTCTCCCGAGTTCGGCGAAAAAGATTTATTTCGTTTGTCACACAAGTTGAAGATGAAATCGTAACTCTCTGTAATACAAGTTCAATGCAATTTTCGTCCAAGTAGTCATAGAAAAAATGTTTCGATTCACTTTTTAAGAAAAATTAAAATAGTAATTTTATTTAAAATCTTATTAAATAATAAATGTTTTGTGTAAACTAATTGTAAGATGCAATATTACATTTAATTTTCTCTTTTTGTATTTTTTCCATTTCCTTCTTCTTAAAAATTTATCTTTCTTTTTAAAATTAAAGTAGTTTCTCTTTTTTCTTCCTTTTCTTCGTCTTCTGTATGTCTCTCTCGGGTGTGTTTTAATATTTTTTTTATTCCAATCCTTTCATTCCTTTGACTGTAATATGAATTTATACGCTGCATCTGATGCATTTTTATTACGTGCTTAAGAAAAGTCGCTTCAGGAGAGATATTAAAATATAAGTAATAAATGCCTCTTTCCGTTTTTCTTTCACGCCAACTTGTAATACAGGAGCGAAGACACATTATCGCGCATTGCTCATTAGTATAATGTCAAAGAGAAGCAACGGCGATATCCGTTACATTTACACAAAATTTTTCTCGAGTAAAACGGACACGCATTTATTAATCGATTTCAATAATAAACGCTGTTATGCGCTCTCACTCTCGTTACGGCGTTTCTAATCAATTTCCTGGTCAGAACCAGGAAAGGACTTCGTGCACGCCACTGCAGTCGTTCGTTTGCATAACGTGCCTCTCCTGCATCCCGTTATTAATACTTGGCTCGCAAAGCCTCGTACGCGCGGTTCGGCTGGAGTATGAATCCGATCGAAATGTCGAACGGGAGCGTAGCGTGAAGTAATCAATAGGCGACGGTTTATAAAACGCGTGATTGAATAACTTCTCATATAGAGTCGGGGCACGTGTGTTTTATACTCGACAACCGGTACGCATTATCTTCGACCCGTTAACGTGGAATACATCACGTTAAACGATCCGGGATATATTGGCTATTAAGCGTCATAAATCGATCTACGTCCGCGATCGAAAGTTATATTCGACGCTCGGCAGCCGCAATTTCCGTCAGGCGTTAGCAATTTTGATTACAGGTAACTGGATGACAGATATTAAGCCTGAAACGCGAGGTGTAGATACGGATAGCGTACGTATAACTTTCAATCACGAACGTATAACCGGCCTTGGAATTATTCAGGTTGTCTCCACTAAAAGCGTGATCTACGAATAATCTACGATCGCGCGAAGTTGGTGGGTAAGCGATTAAATCGTTAAGCTTCATTAACCCCTGCTTGCTCCAACTGCTTACTGCTACCGAAATGCCGCTGAATAATGTAGTGACACGTTAAATATATTTCGCTTCCCGATTACTGCATTTGAATAATTTGTATAGTTTTTTTAAATTTTTTAAATGCCTTTTTAATTTCTCTAATGCATCCGGACGCGTATATCTAAGATTACAAAAGGGAACTTGCCACCTGCTTCCATTTAGCAACATTGCAAAACGAACGCTTGAAAATGTTGAGAAAAATGGAGAAGTTTGTTGCATAAGAATGACTGCCCTATCAAAGTGAGGCTTGATTGCGATTTCGTTATTATTAAAATAGCTAAAATCGAAGAGCTCAGTACGAGAATGAAATAGATCCATGTTCTGTAAAAATCCCCTTTGAATTGCGAAGTCACGCGTACGTAGAACTCTATAAATTATGGATTTCATTTTCGCACTTAAACCACCCGATTATTTATTTTCGATGGACTCGGCGGATCGCGTGAGCCGTCGACGGCGTACTCACGTGAACAGCGTAAGTTTCATGGTGTCGGCGGCCTAGGGCGGATTCTGTTTTGGTCCTCTGCGGATGCCCTTCTGTGAGGCTTGCGAGAAGCGTGCGGAAACCACCTGGTCTGTGGCCGACTGTTACCACTGGCGCGAGGCCCGCGAGGGAATGAATATCAGGCGACAACCTGGGTGGAAGGAAACCGAAAGAGCACACCACTGCAATCGCGGAGGCTGTGTACTTTGGAGTGCCGAGCCGAGTTTCCCCTTCTCTCTATATATATGGCACTCTCACTCTGCCAGCAACCACCCGTGCTAAAGCCAACCGACGATAGCGTACGCGCGCGGTATTCCGATATACCTGATACGCGCGCACACTCACCCCCTTACGTCGCATACACAATGCGTGTGCAATGTCGCGAATACCCGGGCTTTTATACGCTATCTTTTCCACAAAGTCAGCAAGTCGCGAGAGTGGAGGTTACCCACTTGCCCACTTGTCATCTTGCAAGCTCGCTACGATCCAAACCGTTAATATGTTTGGAGGATGATATTATAACGTTTCACGATGCAATAAAATCAAGATGTTTAGGAGACGTTGTGATATTAACGTATCACAATGTAATTAAAATACCTTTGATGTGTTGTTGTTTTTGTACTTTAATAATTGCAAATATTGGGTATTATTGAATATTTTAATACTAGGGTGTATTGAACTTTCAAACAGTATTAAAGGATTCGGAAAGGAATCGCCGGTCTTGGGCAATGACGCACCTTTTCACATTTCGATTGCAGAACATTTGCCATATATGCCGGCGACGGCGATGGCGACGGCGGTGCGCATTGCCCGATAAATTGACGGGACAATATTTTCGAAGGTATTATTTTATTTCGCCAAAGCGTACATACGCAACGCGTGATAAATCTCGAATAAATATCCTGCAATTCTGGGTAAGAAACGCTAACCAACTGTTTCTACCGAAGTGCGGTAATGTCATTTTCGAGCGATCACCGAGAGATCGACGTGCACGCGCGATTTTAAATTCTGTTATTTAACTAAAATGTATTACGCCATGCTACAGTATATTTAACGTAATAAGAAAGATATCGCATTTAAACATGTATATTATTCAAATTTATATACAAAAATGTTTTGCTTGAAAATATTATATCACTCTTTGCATAACGTTATCAAATAATTAGTAACCACGTAATTTTAATATAATAATTAATTTAATTTAAAAATAATAATAACTTATTACAGTGCAGAAGATACGAGATGTTACACGCTGCTTATAAACCTAAATCTTTGACATAATTAATATAATTAAAAATAATAATAATGTTCTAATGGATAGAAATAGATAATGATTCTGTAAAATGGGGATATGCACCATGCCGAATTAGTCTTCAGTAAAATCTGATTGAGAGGAATATTCGAATATCAATAATTTTTTTTCTCTCTTTCTCTCACTCTCACTTTGCAATTCTCGATCGAATCCCGAGGAGGCGTATAGCTTCTCCTGTAATCTTCCTTTCCCTTTCATCCATTAGAAGACGATCGGCGCCGCATACCCACATTTCCCCACGTGTCACTCCTTTTCAATGTGTTCCCTCGTCTCTTTCTCTCTCTCTCTCTCTCTCTCTCTCTCTCTCTGTCATCTTGACTATCTCGATTGCAGATGCCGCACACACACGTTTCGTGAAATTTATGCCACGCTGGAATCCGTGGCTCGTCTTCGCCCAGCGCGATGTAAATTCAAATTCCAACGGACGGTTCTTGCCGCCGAGTGGAACGGCAAAGGTATTGTCCGGCCGGCGGCCGGAATCGGACCGATCGCGGTCGTAAGAGATCACGCTGTTGCATCTGGTCGATCAATATTCATGAATTCACTCGATCACTCTTTCTTTGTTTCGACTCGCGGGCCGCGACAGGTCGCCGTGACGGCCCTTCGAGATGTGAAAAGGTGCCGCGAGGGACAACGTGTCTTAGGTCAGACCGCGAGCAGTGAAAGTAAAGACACGGACACCTACAGCAGCAAGGTGCTGTAGGCAAGAATGCCATGGCACCCTGCCGCTGCTGGCTCCTACGGCGCGGTGCTCTATCGCGCCCGTTTCGTTTTGTCTCCGTGTCGCGCGAAAGAAATCGGGACCGGTGTCTCTCTCTCGGCGGCCGTGAAAATCCCTTTTCTTCGTTTTGCTCCTTTGAGAACTGGTTGTTTCTCCCCAAACTCCGGTGCGAACAACGGCAAATTTTATGCGCCAGTGCCAAACTGAAAAAAATCTGGCAAACCAAAAAAAAAAAGAAAATGAATATCATTGTACAAACCCGAACAGAATTTTCACGGCTATCGCATGTGCAAATGAAATTCGAATTGGTCATTATTCTGTACGTAAATCGTAGAATAGTCAGAGGAGATTCGACAAACGTCAAGTCCTCTTGCAGTATATAATTTACGACTTTCCGCGAACAACGTATTCATAAATATAAGAAACGAATAAAAATGAGAAATGTTAGCAAGAGCAGATAAAAATCTAAGAACTTTAATTATGCCATTCCTTATTGAAAAGACTTGATCTACTCGATGGTTAATGCATGTTGAATATAATAGACAATTTACGGAAATATATGTGTTTGTTTGCACGCGAGGATTCTCCTAACAAAGAAATGGATAAGAAGAAACTCTTCGCGCACGACATGTATAATTTGTATCTCTTGAATGTCTTTCTTTAACGTTTCAAGCGATTGTATTCGCGAATGTCGCTGCAAAGATCATAAATTGCAGCGATCTACGGGGAGTTTTCTTAATTGTATACTGTTCTGCGGCAAGAAATATTCTTTCGAAATAAGAAATACTGTTAAAATCATACATGATGCATGTTTATACTTTAGCAATAGACACAGAATGATTTTAATATATTAAACATACATAAGTTGTTTATTTATTCGCGTGAGTAAAATATTCACAACTCAACTGAGATAAAAAAAATAACGAGATATATATATATATATATATATATATATATGTATATATATAATAAAGGAAAGGAAAGGACTGCGAAGAAAAATAGGGAGGAGAAAGCATGCGATACTACATTGATTTTAAAAGGGACAGACATCTATAAAAGAAGAAGAAAGCGCTTATCCGAATGGAACGCAAGCGAATCTCGCATCAATTTGTAATCTGTCGTAAGTGATTTCTTTGTGCTCTCGGTGGAGAGTAAATAAATATTCGATGGCCATACTAGGCGCCACATATCGAGATCGATCTGAGCGAAAAGAAAGTTTCTGTTATTTTTTGTTGACGTGCCCGAATGACAGATACACTGATCGACGCGTTGCCCGCGGCTTATTGTTAGACGAGGGAGCGGTTGGCTAGGTTTGTTCATCTCGATCGATCCAATCTGTTCACTCGATCAAACCGTCCGCTTATCGATACTTCACATCGGTAATAAGGTCAGGTTCAATTTCTTTGTACGTCAGTTTGACTTTTTAAGTTAGTTTTGGATGAGAAATCGATATTTGACATGCTAGTACAAAATACGTTTCTGATAAAATGAAATGATGAAACGATTGTATATAATAAAAAATGCCTCAGCTAAATTAGACAATGTATTTTTTTGGAATTTATGTTAGACGAAAAACATATCAATTGCATAATAAAATTTGATTGGTATAATTTTCTTTTTCATATTTGACATTAACGATGTTATGTAAATATGTTTTCTGGATACATTTAATAAATTTTATAAAATTATTTTCAAATTACCTAAATTTATCATAAAATTAATTGTATAAAAATAGTCTTTCTCTAAACTGTATGCAAATTAAATGACTTTAAATAATTTTTAAAAGTTTTTTTTCTGTCTGTTTCTTTTCTGATACGGGACGATAAAATAGGACTCTCTCAATTCCATTACGAACCATGTAGCCTTCTATACGGTATTTGTGCTGTCATCTACCGTCTCTTTAAACAAATACGCGCGGAATATATTTTTTTATTTACAATGTATTTTTTAGAATTTTATAAAATTGTGACAAAAGCATTTAACTTTTTCTGGCACATCTTATTTATTTTGTATTATAATAGAAACGTTTAAAGAAAGAGAAAAAATATTAGAAAAAAATGTATTACTTACGAGTATATAAATCTCTTACAATATTTTAAACATTCTATTTGTCAACATTTTATAAAACCTATCTTTATAATTCACAAATTAGACGTGAAGTTAAATTATGAGTGTTAGAAACTATTTTATCAACTCTATGTTTACCAACAGTATATTTTGTGTGCATAATATTATATATAATTTATTACATAATAATAATTAGATGTAAAATTTTTATCTAATTTTAACGTGAGGCTAACAAAATCGTGCTATAAATAATGATATGAACACAATTTTGGAATATTAAATTGATATGGTCAATAGCGATTCCGTCGGTAAATTAATGAAGATTGAGTTTCAGAATTTCGAAATATCAAAGCTTTTTGAATGTTTTTCTTTTCGCAAATATAAAATTTATCGTGCATATAAATTTCTAAAAAAAATTTTTTTGAAAATTTCTTCATTTACTTATAGGTATAGTATTTTTCTAATAAATGTTACTTAATTATTTTTGTTAAATAATAATTACATCATGATAACATGACATTTATATTTTTAACAATAGATGTATTTTTTGTTCAAAAAAGTAATTATTGCAATAAATTATTTTTTTATAATTATGATCTGATTCTGATTGATGTATTCTGCTTTTCGAAATTGATATTAAATTTAAATTTTTTTTCAACACTTTTATTATACGTTAGTTAGAAGAATGCTATACAGGAAAGCTAGTAGAATTTTCAAGAAGCTTCTTTTGAAAGTCTATACAAATGGTACAAATGTTGAATCTCTAGAAGAGAGAGACCATTCAAATATAAATAAATTTAAAACGCGTTATTCTGTAGATCAGTTTCCATATTCATTCTAATCTCATTACGTTTTAACACTACATGCATAAAGTTATAACGATATATATATAACGATATTGCTTGCTCAAGCATAAAAAATTTTTTTTTCTTTTTACTTTTTTTCAATACTCTTTCAATATTATTTCTGGATTTCCTTATCCTTTTCAATATTTCTAAGACAAAAAATCAAAGGAAACCCGCCGGAGTTCGAGCAGTGGCGCCATCGACGAGCGCACGCACCTCGCCGCGTACTACGAGCGTCTACGAGTCGCGGAGGCTGTCACTTGTTGCGTCGCTGTCGGGTCCATCGTCCGTTCCGTTTCGCTCCGGCTCTCCGGCTCCGGACCCGGCACGCTACTACCGGTCCGACCCGCGGCTTTGTTTTTCCGCGCCGAGATCGTGCCGAGCCGAG